CATTTCCCTCTACGTTATTAGCTGATCTTCTCTAGCTCATTCATATTCTCTCTCTCTCTCTCTCTCTCTCTCTCTCTCTCTCTCTCTCTCTCTCTCTCTCGTTTCAACATTTAATTTTTCTTTATGTGTATGTGTCTGTATACCACATGTGTATGAATCTGGAGTCACAGGAAATTGAAAGCCACCCACTCCATGGAAGCGCTGGGAACCTAACCCAAGTCTTCTGGAAAAGCAGCGTGCACAGTTCATCACTGAGCCTTCTCTCCAGCCCCTTCTCTGTATAATTCTTGTCCCCACCCCCTTGTATTTTACATGAAATTCAGATTCACATCAAGCCTGCCACTACTCAAGAGTGTTCATTACAAGTCGAGATTTGATCAGCTTCATACGTCTAATTATCTTCATTACCGCTGGCTTCAGTACAGCTTTCTGCAGTACTAGGATCAAAAATAGCCTCCCTTTCCAAAAGTGCACTCCGCACAAGTGGCAGCAGAAACTGTCTAAAGGACCTTCCTTACAGGACCCGCTTTGTCCTGTGTGTTTCACGTCTCATTTCAGACCCTTAGTTGCTTAACACCCAGAACTTTCACTTGTCTCCCTTCCGTCATGGATCTGAAGTGTCCCTGGAAACATTCATGAGTGCTGCATCACGTGACTTCACTGAAGCCTGGCTTCTGAACATAAAACATGCCCACTTCACATGGTACCAGTGGTGATATTATTCAACTGGAGTCAGTGCTACCTCCAAATACTTCAGTGCAGGTTTGAAACTATCATGCATTAAGAATTGCCATGTTTTTACTATATGTGCAAAGGTTTCTACTGTTTAATAAGCATAATTGTTTAATTACAGAAAAACAGACCTCTGCTTTCCCACGTCCATTCCTCATCATGCAAATATCAAACTAGCATATTTTTTTTTTTTTTTTTGGTTTTTCGAGACAGGGTTTCTCTGTGTAGCTTTGCGCCTTTCCTGGAACTCACTTGGTAGCCCAGGCTGGCCTAGAACTCACAGAGATCCGCCTGGCTCTGCCTCCCGAGTGCTGGGATTAAAGGCGTGCGCCACCACTGCCCGGCCAAACTAGCATATTTTTTATTCAATTGTATTAAAATATTTTATCTAAAACTTCCTGTTTGGGTTACACAAAAAATTGTTAAATGAAATTTGGGTTGAGACTAGGACAGAGTTTCTAGTAATTTCTGAAATGTTCCTAAATATATTTCAGCCATTCTATAAAAAACACATGAAAAGTGGTGTTATGGGTAGCTGACTCTGAGAAATGATGAAGATGCTCTATGTCTTGCAGTATCAAATATTTAGCTAAGATTTAATTCTTTACATGAAAATAAATAGGCAAGGCCTGGAGAGATGGCTCAGTGGTTAAAAGCACTTGCTGCTCTTGCAAAGGACTCAGGTTCCAATCCTAGCATCCACATCAGGCAGTTCATAATGGCCTCTTATTCTAGCTCCAAGGGATCGTATGCCTTCTCCAGGTCTCCACAGACACCTGCACATGTGGCATCCACACAGACATGCACCACAAAGATACAAATAAAGTTGAATAAATGAGCACACCCATCTCATTTTGGTTTCGCCTATTTGTGTAGCTGTGTATCCTGAGTCACATGAACATTTCTCGTGTGAAAGGAGTCCCAAGCAGAAGAAGCTCATGGCAGCCCCCTCTCCAGCCAGTCACATGAGGAAACACTGCCTGACAATGACCCTGAGACTGAGCTCTCGGAGCATCAAAAACCCTCTGTCCATATTCCTTGTCAAATGCTGGCCATTTGCTTCTCCGGGATCCTTTTCTCTGTATCAACCACCAGAGGTGATTCCTACTCTCTGTGGCTTCTCTACTTCTCAAATTACAAAAGTGCTTTATTAAAAAAAAAAATTGCTGGCAGCTAGAGAGATGGCTCAGAGAGCTGGGTGTTCTTCCAGAGGACCTAGGTGTGGTTCCCAGCACCCACATGGTAGCTCACAACCATCTGTAACTCCAATACTAGGCTTTCCAACATCTTCTTATGGCCTCTGTAGGCATTGCAACAAGCGATACATAGACATACATGCTGGGCAAAGCACCTATATACATTAAAAAGAAATAATTTTTTTAAAAATTTCAGTTGATGTGTTTCAATTGCTTCTGTATCAGTAACAGAGCATCAGCTAGAAGGAAGAGAAGTCAAGGCAGGCCTGAATGGTACCTGTTGCCAGTCATTGGAAATTGGTAACGCTAAAGAGTATAGAAGGACAAAATATGGACATCTAAGTATAACATCTGTTATAGAAATATGAACTTATTTATTTTCAAGATAGTCAAGTGGTAAAAGATACTAGATTGATTTGCATTAAGTTACAGAGAATATCCCGCCCTACCCTGAGTAAGTCCCAGTGAACACTGGGAACCCCTACGTCCTGATGAATGCTCCTCTTCCTCTACAACTCACTTTTCCCAATTCTAGGACCTAAAGCAATGCTCTGAGTAAAATGTCTTCAATAATTACCCATAAAAAGCCATTGTTCCGAGGGCCATGCTGTCACCAGAGCCACGCTGATCTGAGTGGCCTGTGCTGCCTCCCCAAGCTGCAGGCAAGGGCCATGTCTAGGTCCATGGTCCTAATGCAGTTGGGGTCTGTGTTGATGTCTGTGGACCCTGTTACCACAGGGTTCCATAGAAACCATGTGTGATGAAATCAGAGGGCCATGCTGAAGCCGATCCTGCCCTTCTCTGTCCCTGCCCTTTGCTGGACTCTGCAGCAAGAAAGCTGGTCCTGACTCTCACAGGAAAGCTGCTCCCCCTACTTGGGAGAGATAGCCCAGATGGCCCTACCTCTCATCATGGGTGGGAGACCCGGCCCTGGTGACATGGGTGTAAGAGAACTGGTTCCACCCCTCATTTAAGGGGGGTAGCCCCAGTGGCTCAGACTGACCAGCTCAGCAAACCCCCCAGACCCACATCTAGGGCCTTGGATTGGCCCGTCCTAATATCTATCCTATCTATGACCTACTGGAGTGTGTGAAGGTCTGTGGAACGAGATCTCCGTGACTCAGGTGTCAGGGATATCCGAGAGGAGTCTTAATGAGGGTCCAGTGATGAAACCAGAGGCCTTGAACCAGACCAATGACTTGTTGCAATGAACTTTTGCAAGGAAAGATGACTGGACAAAAGGATATACTATGTGACATACTGAGGTTCCTAGTGCCACTCAGATGAAAGAAGAGGCGTTGGAGAGGCAGGAAAGATGGAGGGATGAAGTAAAGAGGTTTATTGTTTGGTTGGTTTGGGGTTGTTTTTTTTTTTCATTTTATTTTGAGGTTCAAGGGTAAAGAGCAGATATGGAGGGACTGGGAAATTAGTGGAATTGGGGTGCATGATGTGAAATTCTCAAAGAAACAATAAACAAATTATGCTAAACATTTTAAAAAGCCATTGTTTGTATCCAATGGTGAAAACAGTCTGATACAAATAGCCATTGATCTGCCCTTGGTGTCCTTCAGCTTAGGGATGGAAAGAAAGAGAAACAGGACTTATTCCTATGACCCTAGCCTGTCAGCCATGCAACCTGACCGTCCCTGGACCAAAGCCAGTGGTACATTAGAACACAGCAGGTTTATGACTCCCAGCACAGACCGGAGATAGAGAACATAGCCTGACACTCTCTGATCAGCCCAACAGGACTGAGGCAGTCCAACATCTCGGGAAGCTACAGATTTCTTGCAGAAAGGCAAGGGCAAAACAGAGTAAGAGGCCGGATGGAGCAATGACTTTGCCTTAGGTCAGCAGCTTGAGATGGTCCTGACAACTCTCTGGTGCCTGAGTGACAGGCCATGCATAGAAGTCTGGGGGCGGGGACAGGGGAGACTGAGATGCTAGTGTAGTTCAGCAGTGTCAGAGAGACACCAGACATGGCCCTAGAGAGAAAATTTGTGCCAGGAGGCCTTAGATTCATGTCAGCTTTTATGTTTTTAAAAACATTCTAGAAGCCGACTTCTGTAGTAATGAAGGGCTCTTACCATCTATATCCACATCTGCGATAAATCTCAGGCTCTCTCTCCTTTGGAAATTTTAGCATGTTATAAATCACTGAAGGCTGGAGAGATGATTCAGGGAGTATTAGTCAGGGTTCACTAGAGTAACAGAACTCAGAATGAATCTCTCTCTTTCTCTCTCTCATACACACACACACACACACACACACACACACACACACACACACACACACATGGGTTTATTAGAATGACTTATAAGCTGCAGTCTAGCTAATTCAACAATGGCCAGCAATGGCCAGAAAGTCTAAGAATCCAGTAATTGCTCAATGCACAAGGCTGGATGTCTGGTCTTCAGTATATGCTGGAATCCTGAAGAAGTACATTCTAATGCCAGTGAAGGGATGGACTTGCTAGCAAGGTGAGGGGAAGCAGGCAATGAGCAGAAGCTTCTTTCTTCCATGTCCTCATATAGGCTGCCAGCAGAAGGTGTGGCCCAGGTTAGAGTTGGATTTTCCCAGATCAAATGATCTAGATTAATATTGTGTTTTTCCTCCTCAAGATACAGATTAAAGGTGTGTCTTTTTCCAGCTCAAGTGATCTGGATTAAAACTGTATCTTCCTATCTCAAAGATCCAGATTAGATGTGAATCTTCCCACTTCATGTTAAGCAAAAACCCCTCACAAGTGTGCCATTTTGGGGTTTTAGTTAATTTCAGGTGCAGTCAAGTTGACAACCAAGAATAGCCATCACAAGTGGTTAACAGCAAATATTACATTTGCTGAGAAACTGAGTTCAGTTCACAGACCCACATCAGGCAGCTCACAACCATCTGTATCACCAGTTCTAGGGAAACCAATTCCTTCTTCTTGCCTCTACAGGCACTACACTCGCATACTCCTACCCACACATAGACACACACATACACAATTAAAAAAATATATATAAAACCCTCTAAACCTGTCATTTAATGTGTATGGTACACGCTGATGTCCTTTATTCTCCTTTCAGTATTTATAAAACTTATGGAAAGTTCCAACCTGTCTCACTGAGATGAGAAGACCTAGAAAATGGGAGTTCTCAAGAGTCTGATGAGGAACTGCCATGAAAATGGTGAGATACTCTGGAGGAAAGCAGTGCTTGATGGTGGACCTCCTGACAGCCCCAACCTTGTTGCTACCAAGACTGTTTGGGTAAGGAAGTGCTTGTTGATGGGCAGTAAAATAATTGGGGTGAGTGATGTTTGAACTATAGCTCTACTGATGCTGAATAGAAATAAAAGAAATCTTGCAAAGTCAACCAGAAAAAATAACAAAGAATTTGGCAATAACTATCAACAAATAGTATGGTGGTGCATGTGAGTATCTAGAACACTCAGAAAGAAGAGGAAGAGGAAAAGGAGGAAGGGGAGAGGGAAAAATGAATCAATAAAGAATCACTTTCTCCAAAGAAATCCTGAGGAAGAAATTAATATTACTTGTTCCAAGAATTTTAGCACATTTAATTCAGCAAAGATTATGGAGTACCTGCTATGTCCAGGGCTCTGTGTGAGGTGTGTATACACAGTGTGGGCCACTCAGTGCTAAGGACAATGCCTTCTAGTTGGTAAGAACTTTAGAGACTCTCTTCCCTTTGGAATCGATATGGAAATACTAGACAAGCAAAAGCTTTGTCTTTCCTTTGAGATGTTTCCTAACTTGGTGAGGAGGAGCAGAGCTCATATTTACACTGTAGCAGCATCTGTGGGAGCCCCAGAGAGTTTGAGGTAACTATAAAATGAGTAATTGCTCTGTGGAAAGTTCGTTCCTATACAATGACATCAAACAGACAATCTGTGGCTCATTCTGAGCCTGGCAGCAGACCTGCAGAAGGGAACGTGCCCTTCTGAGCTAGCCCTTTACATAGCCTCCTGGTAGCACAGATGCTGCAGTTGGCCCTGGCACAGCCCGTGGCAATTACTGGTTCTGTTGTTGCCGGCTTTATTCACTCACTCTGTCTAGACTTCAATTTCTGGAGCCTTTAGTGACTCATTTTTCAAAAAACATACAAGTCATTTCACTTTGCTTTGCTTTAAGCTCTATATAACCTAATATTTAATGTGCTCTGAGCGATGTTATGTGTACCTCATCAAAAAGCAGTCTATAGACTTCCAAGAACACCAGATGATGTTGACTTTGACCATAATCTCATATTAACCTCTTATTGAAATCTCCATTTTATGAAAAGTCATATCCCAGGCCCTATTCAGAACTGCAGTGTTGACCTGGGTACCTTCAACGATGCTTTTCTATCTTTTATTTAGTTGGCAATAACTCTAAAGGCCATAATTTCATATTTGGTTGAGTTTTGAGTTGTTCAATTTGACAAGTTACCATTCCCTCAAAACCTAAGTCATTATCTTAAAAGCCTTGAATGGTCAAATCATGAAGTCTGAGTGTTTGAGGCAGAGTACTGGGCCAACCAGTACAAAATCTTAAAAATTGTATCCAGTAGCAACTGACTCTAACTGTATAAACACATTATGGATGTGTGCAAATAGGAGTATGCAGGTAGAGGGTTGAGCTGCTCTAGTGTTCGTGGGACAAGGGTCTGACCTTCTACTGCCCGCAGATGGTCAGTTCTAAGTAGAATTAGAGGCATGGAGTAATGTGGAATTGTTTCATCACTGGCTTTCTCGTGGCACATATCTATGCTTGTATTGTGTTCTCATGAGAATAGTCTTTAGTCTCATCATGGGATAGCGCCCTCAGACTCGTAATGTAGAACATCAGAAATCATTTCCTGAGATGATTCAGAAATTTGACTTTCCTTCAAGACCCTTTTTCTGCTAATTCTAAAGATTTGAAACTGTGCCTGTATTTCTACTTACTTATTTACTATATTTAACTAGAATTTAGTCTTTTCTCTCATGAATGTTACCTTTTATTTCAACATTTTCATTTTTAAATTTAGTTATTAATCACTTTTTATCATCTATCCTTTTAATAAAAGTTTGTTAAGGGTTTATAATAAGTCAACAATCACTCTTGGACCAAATATAGAGTCCTAACTAAAACAAGATCTTTGCTTTCAGAGATTTTATGGATCTGGAGATAATAATTTAAACTGTTATCAAGTGCTAAAAACCTCACACCATTTCTTCCTTTAGTCATATTTTACAGCACATGAACATTCTCTTTGTTTCATTAGCTTTAAAAATCTCATGTTTTGATTACCTTTACTGTTTCAGGGTCTGTTTAGTAATCCCTACTAACACACAACAACTACTTGCTCACTGTTCATGATTGGTTTTGCCACATGGGGTAATACCTGGAATATTCTGGCTTTCCATCTTCATTTAATTATAGGTCCAACAATCGGGACACCCTTGGTAATTATTACCTCAGCAAAGCCTTGCATGATTCCACAGAGAAGTCCCACTTGCAGTGTGAACCCACAGTTAAGGAGGCCTCTAAGCAAATTGACTCTATTTTCCTGACAAATAGGCCAGAGGAAAGAAAGTTTTTAAATTCACTAGAGATGACTTGTTTCAGCTTCTCCTCTCTGGTCCCTGTTGTGCTTTGCATGCATGAATCATACGGGTGATTTGAATCAAGAAGGTAAAGGAAGCCTTGCAGTGTTGATGCCCTTCACACCCCCACCATGTAGAGAAGTTGATAAGCAGACTGATAACTGAATAATGCTTTGCAATGTGAGATTCAGTGTTTGCTGCAAACGCTAACACCCACCCCCTTTTAATTTGAATATTTCTCTCCTTCCTCCATCTTGCTCCAGGAAGTGTTGGAAGATGGCCAACACTATTCTCCTACAATAAGTGACAGACTTCAGGAATTATCACTGGGTGCCAGCAGCTCTGGTTAAGAATATTTTTTTTCTCTATCTAGCTTAGCTGAATTTCCTTAGGCTAATAAATTAACCTCTGTGAGTGTGTGCCTACCACTAATTTGTCAGACGTTGTTAAAGAAGAATGTGATGAATGTCTGGTCATGTAGGAAACAATTTGTGTTTTTAACTACTTTCTTATTTTTGTTATAATTATTTCCTTGTGTGCTGGTTAGATTTTTGTCAACTTGATGCTAGCTAGCATGGGGGGAAAGGGGAACCTCTTTGAGAAAATGATTCCATCAGATTGGCCTCTGGGCAACTCTGTGTGGCATTTTCTTGATTAAGGATTGACCTGGAAGGGACCAGCTTATTGTGGGTGGGGCCTTCCCTGGGTAGGTGGTCCTGACATATATTAGAAAGGTAGCTGAGCAAAGTTATGGAGAGCAAAGCCAGTAAGCAGATCTTATCCATGGTCTCTGCTTCAGTTCCTACTTCCAGATTCTTGCCTTGAGTTCCTGCCTGGTATCTCTTCATGATGCACTGTGGTGTGATAGGGGAAGTCAAATCAACCCTTTGCTCCCCAAGTTTCTTTTGGTCTTCACATTTTAATCACAGCAATAGAGACAAACTAGGATACCTCAGATGCTTTGTCTGAGTTAGGGTAGTGTATATCATGTTTTCAGCCATTCTTTTCCCTTTAGATAAATTCCCTCTAACACCGAAGCTTATAAAGTCACCATGCAATATTGCCATACATCACTGATGCTATGAGGGCAGTGTACCTCAGACGAGGCAACTCTTCAACTTGCACCCCAGAATACAGGAGACAAAGAGCAGCACCATGGTCAGCGTGCAACTTCCATGAAACAAGTTAGAACGACTGAATGTTAGAGACACCAAGAGTTGCTTACAACTACAACATAAAAGCCTCTTTCTAGTGCCTTGGAGCCTCTGGGGCTCAGGTCATCTGAAGGGTAATATTTTCAGCTATGAGCTCGCTCTTCTGCTGCAAGCTTCCAGATACTTTATATATTCAGTGTTTTAGGGCCTAAAGGACACCACTATGGTGTGGAGGCTAGGCTTCACACTGTTTTTATTCCACATCATTCCAGCTCACCCCACACTGAAGTCCATCTTATGTTTGTAGAGAGCATCTAACTGAAGTGTCTTCAAGTGCAAAAGAAGTTGATGCTAAGAATTCTTAAGAACAATGCCTTTGATACAGAAAGAATTCTAAGAAATGATTTTGATTGCTATTACAGGGACAGAAAGGAGTGCTAATCCCCATGTTCTAAGAATTATATAGATACATGTGTGTTCCTCAATGAGACTGTGGAAGGATAACAAGATACTGTGCAGGCAGGTACAACCCCAAGCAACTATAAGTCCCACAGAAGAAATAGATGCTCCAAGCTCACAGCACAGCAAGCTAGAATCAGCTCAGGTCAGAGGACACCCAAAGAAGCTGACGCTGATTACCGTGCATCTGTATTGGCTAGACGGTGCTTCAGGACCCAGAGAGGGGCAGGAGAGCATCATGGGGTGGGGTCGGGAAGAACTGCAGAATAAAAGCACAAATGTAGCAAATTAAGGATTCTTTTAGAAAACAGTGAGTCATTCTTTCTAACTGGAGCAAAGCACTCATGAAATCCAGGGAAACAGAACTGTAGCTCTGTGTGGGAGTTGAATCAGAGAGATGCCTCAGGATCTAGGAATAGGAAATGACTTCTGGGAAAGATGTTCCCCATTTTTAACAGAGAACACTGGCCAGAAATGCATCCTTTCAACTCCTACATAAATAAAACAGAGTCAGATGTGTTAGTTATAGACAAGAAATGAAATAAAAGGGCAAGACTTTCTGCTTATGATCATGGGTGAAGATATATGAGTTACTCTTTCATTCCACCAAGTCTCCCTCCCCCACAAAACCAATATCATAGTATCACAATAAAAGATCAATAGACCTTCATGACCGCTGAGATTGAAAAGAGGACTCTTAGCCAGCCAGGGGTCTTAGTGAATTTCTGGAAAGGATGGAAAATTGATGAGAATACCTTTGTAGATTACAAAAAGCAACACAGAAGTCCCTTTTTCATATCAAAAAGAAATTCAAAACTCCATACTGGTAGGAGATGGCATGTATAAAAGGGAAAAAATCAAGGCAAAAACCTGATGACAGTTAGAAGCTTCATCTTTGGAACAACTATGCCTATAAGTCTCTCAGAGTTCCAGCCCTGCCAACATCTCTCATGGTCATATCAGGAGCTGAATTTACCTCTAGGCTAAGGCTGTGGAACAATTCTCTAAAAAAGTTATAATCCACTAAGAGTAGGCTACTATAGCAGCCCAAGGGGCAAGGCTTTGGCATTTGGGTGAAATGGAAAATAAACTCTGGCAACTTTGACAGCATAAAAGTAATGGAGCCACTCTCAGGAACAATGGGCAAAGTCGTATGTCCTCTCCTAATGGGCATCTGGAGATACTGTCCAAGGGTGATCAGAGAGCCTTGAACACATTATTTACAGCTGCAAAAGTAAGCCAAACAAGTTCCAAAATTTATAACATGACTCATGAGAACAGAGAAGTGGCAAGTAGAGTTGAGAAAGAAGGAATTCTTTATCTTCATAATGGGAACTTACTGGATCTCTTTACACTTTTTAAAGTGCACAGGAAATATTGCTGGAGTCATATGATGTAGATGCATTGAAGAAGCCACTGGAAGAGGCAACAAAAGATGGTGTTCAAGACTGGGCCTTCTAGGCAGTGGGACGTGGCTAGGAAAATGAATTACAGAGCTGTAGAAAGACATTTTTAAGTTTGCAAGCTTCTACTCAGCCTGAATGTCTTAAACTATGAATATGTAATTACTGTCAAAATTTCAAAATGTGGAACATTTGGATTTGACACCTAGGACCAAATGATAAGAATCTCTAAAATTTCTTTGCTGACTAAGAACTCTTAAGATAATTACAAATGGGCCCGTGAGATGGCTCAGAAGGTAAGGATGCTTGCCACCAAGTCTGCTGACCTGAGTTCAATCCAGGGAACCCAGATAGTAGAAAGAGAGAACCACCTCCTACAGATTGTCCTCTGACATCCATACCTGCAACATGGCACAGGTGAGTGTGCACACACATAAATGAATGAATGAATGAATGAATGAATGAATGAATGAATGTAATGTTCCAAGTATTATTAGTCTAACCTGAAGTGAATTTCCTTCTTTGTACATAGCCTGGGCCCTGACTTATTTATTTTATCCCTTCTCTTACACAGTTCTCTCTCTTAGAAATGGCAATTTAAAAGGATGTTTTCTTTTTACTGTGTCAGCTTTAAACTGAGCTTTACAGATGTCAACTTAATTAGCAGTATCTAGTTTTACAGATCCCAAGAACAGCTTGGACAAGTACATCATCCCCTGCCTAAGCTGTAGATATTGTTGGAGGAGTCTCAGTGAATCAAAAGAAGAAAATGATCAATATTCAGGGTTAGACGTATAGTTGCATGTAAAAATGACTCAAGATGATACCTAAAAATTTTAAATAGGCTAATTTGGACATACATAATTACTTCAACTTCTCTACTTGGGTTGACTGGATACAGAAATTTGCATGAAAGGACCATGAGGAAAGATTTAAATGAAGTTATTTTCCTAATAAAATTTCAAATAGGCAGATGTTTGCCCCAAGGAGCCATTCAGACAACAGAACTTACATAAAAACACTGTGAGTGCCAAAAGGAAAGAATGTCTTTAGCCACTACCTTTTAAAGATACATTCATTGTCCATATGAATGTGGATGGCATTATTTTGAACAGATTACATTCACTTTTGTCCAGTGATAAGTCTTCCACCGGAAAGATCAGGAAAACTTGAAATGTTTACTTTGAAAATTCTCCTGAGGATACTACAGCTTTTAAAATGTTAATTTATACAGATATGCATGACTCAATTAGGCTCACACTCTGAGCAGTGTTCTCTCTGACAAGAGCTGCCTACCATCTGTTAAGTGAACTATTTCCAGTTTTCATGATCCCAAGGTCATCATTTTAGCTACTGAAATTGAAAGTCCCAGCCATCATAAATGTCATTTGCCCCACCCTTCCTCTGATGTTCACTCGGGTCATCATTTTTTCCCAGATTCTTTTTTAATCAACAAATTTGAAAGAAACTCCAAAGGAAAAAAAAAAGCATGCCTAACCAATTCCATTTTCGTGGATGGTGGCTTCGAAACAAGTGTTAGCTTGCTCTGTTGTTCTAGAAGGCTGTTTTCTTTTTCTCTGGTAGATGCTGAAGAAGGCCTTCATTTTCTAGATTTTATGTTGTGAGTCATCTCAAACCTGTGTCCAGACAGTCATTTTATCTAGAAAAGCTGGCTTCGATAGAGATACCAGAAGCTCTAATGCTTAATGACCACAGCGGTGGACCATTTATTTGTTTTGCCTAATCTGGGCTTTTATGCCTAGGAAGTGCCCTAGCAGGCCCCAGGGAGTTGGACATCCTAGCTAAATCTGTCCTTTGGCTCTTTGATAACTTCCTGATTTCTTATCTTGGTTGGGCAAGTCAAGTGAGCCATTGAGTTGAAGTATTCTATAAAATATGTCCAACACATTCCATGTCACAGAACACTGTGGAAGGATCAAGGGTCATTGGTCCAGTTTTAGGCTTCTCATAGATGAGGTCAAGGATCTCTTTGACAAAAACCTCCTTTGGGAAGAGCCATTCTTGACTTGTGTAGAATTGGATCTTGTTATGGCATTCATAGAACACCTCCCCCACCCCCTCAGAGATTCACATGTTGAAGATTTGGTTAAGAACGCAGCCATTTTCAGAAGTGGGGCTTTGGAGAAGTGATTACATCAAGAGCAATATTATACTAAAATTTTGATGACATTACTGCAGGATGGTGGAGACTTAGATTGCAGATCACTAGGGCACACTGTCAAAGGTGGTATTTTGTCCCTGAGCACTTATTGTCTTTGTGGCTCTGTTTCCTGGCCACAATTCCATGAGTATCTTTCCCCTTCCACACTTTCTGTTGCAGTATTACTCCTCACCTCAGGCCTAAAAGCAATGAGCTAGCTGAGTTTGGAATGAATCCTCTGAAATCACGCATCAGAATAAACTTCCCCTCTCTCTCTTGTTTACTTCAGATATTTTGTCTGGGTTCAAGCTATAGGAGTCTTTCTTAGCCAGCTGGCAATTCCACTGGGTGTTTGGGACCCTAGGGCAGTCCCAAGACCTTTTCAGGGTGGTCTATTAAGCACAAAAGACACATCCTGGGTTAATACTCCTGTTAGCAAGAAATGAAACTACAGAAGCCAAAAGCAAGGTTAGTACATGTAGGGACTTTCCTAGAACTTTGGATTTTGATGGATTAGGTCATTGTTCTCTGTTTTGGCAGGTGTTGCTGCCCACATGCTGGGTTCCAAGGTCTGAATGATACTTCCACCATGATGGCATCAGTTGTGTCAAGGTCGGGGGGCTATTATAACAGTAACAAAATGATGATTGACGGGAGATGTCCCTCAACTGAAGAATGGGTAAAGAAATGTGGTACATAAACACAATGGAGTACTACTCAACAGTTAAAAACAAGGACACCAGGAAATTTGAAGGCAAATGGGTAGAACTAGGAAAAATCATCCTGAGTGAGATAATCCAGACCCAGAAAGACAAACATGGTATGTACTCACTCGTAAGTGGATATTAGCTATAAAATGAAGGATAACTATGCTCCAATCCAGACCCAGAGAGACTAGGTAACAAGGAGGGCCTAGAGGGAAAGCATGGATCTCCCTGGGAAGGGGAAATAGAAGAGATCTCCTGGGTGGACTAGGGATGGATGAGGATGGGAACATAAGGGGTCAGATTGAGGGTTTGACAGAGTGGGAGAATAATGAAAGAGATAACTCGATGGTGGGTTTATTTCAGGGTCAGGCAGAAACCTGATGCAAGGGAAATGCCCAGCTAAACACTACACTTCTAAGAGAAGTTACAATTCTTACAGCACCATTTTTAGTCATGTGAACCTTTTGAACTAGTTGCCTCATGTGTAAACTGGACAGCATAAGAGTGCTCACTTCGTAGTCTTCATGGAAAAGGGATCATTGTGCCCTGGCCTATGGTACTGCACCTCTGTGAGATCCTATTTTCCCCCTACGCCTTTCTTCATGTGTATGTACTTGTGTTTTTCCTCCATGTATGTCTGTGTACTACCTGTACTCACAGAGGCCAGAAGATGTCAGACCTCCCAGAAGTGGAGTTACAAGACAGTTGTGAGTGGTCATGTGAGTATTGGGAACTGAACCCAGAGTCTCTGGAAAAGGAGTGAGTACTTTGAACCACTGAGCCATCTCTCCTTGCATACATTATATTACTTGAGTATTTGTCTTTCTTGAGGGCAGTATATTCCCTTGATTACTTGGCCATTAAAGTAGTTTTATGCCATTTCTCTACCATGATGTGGCATACCACTAATAGATGAAGGAGGCTTCATCTATCTCCTTTTGAACACATCTTGCCTTTTATAGATTCTTTGGTAAACACTCTAACCATCTCCCTTATCATTTTCCTTGCCTTTATTTGCTTCCTGAGAACAGGGACCAAACTCTGCTTTGCAGTGAGTGACAAGCCAGAACTGTGTGGTAGGCATCATCATCTCCTCCATAACACGTCATTTAATGAGGGGGATGACTTCAGAGATTTTATTTTAAAGTTTTTTATTCTTTTCTTTAATATAAGAATATGAATGGAGGTTTGAGTAAAACTCAGTTGTAGGGTACCTACTTAGCATTCACAGGCCCTGGATTTGGCTAGGGATTGGAGTAAAATTCAGTGGTATTTACTTAGCATGAGCAAGAACCTAGGTTTAATTCTCAGCACCATGAAGAAAAAAAGCAGTATGGACAAATTCATTGTACTAGTCAAATAATTTACAGATGTATAAAAAAATTTGCTATTTGTACCCACATCTATTTTCACCTTTTGCCCAGCCTGGCAGACTCAGTGTTAATCAGGCATATCTTTGTTTTATGTATAGAAGCACACATGTGCATATACACATAATCAAAGTTATTCATATGTAGATACAGTGTTCACTTTATTTTTGTTCTTTCTATTCTTTTTGCATTTATCAAAATGGATTACACTATTTACAGGGGTTGTGAGCATTCCTGTGTGATAAAATGGGGATATTATTTTTAACAGCTGAATAATAATCTACAGAATGGGTATACTGTATTTGTTTGGCCATTATTAACAGACACTCAGATCATTACCAACTCCTATTCCATGATGAGTAACAGTGGTGGTTTGAATGAGAATGGCCCCCATAGGCTCATAGATTGAATGCTTGGTCACCATGGAGTGGCACTACTTGAAAGGATTGGAAGATGAGGCCTTGTTGGAGGAAATGTGTCAATACAGGTGGGTTTTGAGGTTTCAAAAGCCGTTGCCAAGACAAAAGTCTCTCTTTTGGCCTACACATCAGAACGTAGCTCTTATCTACTTCTCTAACACTATGTTTGCCTGCAACCATGCTCCCCACAATGGTGATAATGGACTAAACCTCTGAAACTGTAAGCAAGCCCCCAATTAAATGCTTTCCTTTAGAAGAGTAGCCATGATCATGGTGTCTCTTCACAGCAATAGAATAGTAACAAATACAATGGTGCTCCTGGAAACAGCCTTTCATATGCATCTTTTATACACTGGCCATTTGATTCTGTACTATGTATTCACAGGCCTGGAACTTCACATCAAAGAATGTGTGCTTGAGCAAGATTTACTAGAATACTACTCAAACTTCAGCTTTCAAGTACTGATGGACATACTACATATTCCAGACTTTGTTTCGGATTTATAATTTTGTAATGTTTTCCTTAAAGAAGAATGAGTGAAGAGCTAAAGAGAATGAAGCTTGTGAAATTTTTAACCTTTGAAACCCCATGGGACCAGGACCTCCTAATTCATAAATATGTACATTTAGGGTTTTTAAGTCAGTTGTTTGAGAATTCCCTACAATGTATTTTGGTCGCATTCACCTCTTCCCTCGGCTCCTTCCAGATAACACCACCCCATCCCCTTCTCCAACTTGGTGTCTTTCATTGCCTTTCAAAACCCATGGAGCCCAATTGTGCTGCCCCATCCCCATACTCTTAGTGGGCAGCATATCGACTGGAACATTGTTAACCTATGGGGGCCACATCCTTAAAACAAAACCGACTGTACCAGCAGGTGCCAATTGCCAGTGGTTCTTCAGCTAAGGGTAGGACTTCATGCTCACCTCTCTTTTCCTTTCTAGAAAGGTGGTAGTGATTCCTGCTTCCCCCAGCAACACAAGAGAGAACCCAAGATCCCACATCTTGGAGACACGAGGTACCAGTGTGTTTTGGCTTTCTTGTTTGTTTGTTAGCAAATATGTTGTAGTGGATTGTATTTGAAATGGACCCCAACAGGCTTATGTATTCAGTGGCTCATCTTCAGTGGCTGGTGCTGTGTGGGGTGGCTTTGGAGCAAGTGGAACACTGGAGAGCAGGTCTTGAAGGTTATATCTTCACTCTCTTCCAGGTCCCTTTCTGCTCCATGCTCTCCCTAGATATAAGGAGGTGAGGAAGTTCAGCCGCCAACTCCCACACCATTCTTGCCTGCAGTACAGCGCTCCCACCACTCTAGAGCTGCCTGCCACCACCGTGCTTTCTCTGTTATTTCTACTGCATCTACTCGAACCACAATCCAGAATGAATCCATTTTCGCTGAAGTTGCTTCAAGTATTTAGTCATAATAAGGACAAAGCAACTGCATTTAAAGACATACATGGTATCTTATTTATGTATGTTTTCTTCACTTCTGTCAGCTTAAGCATCTGCCATCTCTCTAGTAAACACATCTCCTCTGAGATTTTATAGCCATTTTTTCCATTGTAACCCAGGATGGCTATACTTAGCTGTCAGCTTGGCTACACCTGGAATTTACTAAAACACAAGTTTCTGGGTACACCTTACTGTGAGGGACTTTTCTTGATTAGATCATTTTTGACCGCATCTTCTGATGGCAGCTTATATAAGGACATGGAAAAAGGAGATGCTTGTTCTTTGGCTGCATGTCCCCACTCTTTGGCAAGTTCATGCCTTCACCAGCATTACTGCATTTTCAGGATTCAAACATATACCCAAGACCATCTGAGACATCAGCCTCTTGAACCAAAGCAACTATTAGATTCTTGAACTTCTGTTGGGAGACAGCCATTCTTGGAATAGTTGGACCACATCTTGCAAGTCACTCTAAAAATCCCATTTTTATATATAAAGATTTATTTTATTAGTTCTGTTCTCTAGAGAACCCTGACTAACATATAACCTCTTCCTGCCCATCAGTTTAAAGAATGTCTTTGTATGTCTCAAGATTCATCCACTCCACAAATAAGATTGAGCCTCTACTATATTCCAGACATTTCTGCAGGCTATAAAACAGAATTCCTGACAACACAAAGCTTATAATAATAAGAATAACTAATCAAAGTGCAAACAAGGAAAGAAAACAATGAAAAGGGGGCACTCTGGGTTGCTGTGGGATGGTCTGTATGTCAAGTATGTTGCTGATTGGTCAATAAATAAATCACTGATTGGCCAGTGGCCAGGCAGGAAGTATAGGCGGGACAAGGAGGAGAATAAAGCTGGGAAGTGGAAGGCTGAGTCAGAGAGACACTGCCAGCCGCCACAATGAGAAACAGCATGTGAAGATGCCGGTAAGCTACGAGCCGTGTGGCAAGGTATAGATTAATAGAAATGCATTAATTTAAGCTGTAAGAACAGTTAGCAAAAAGCCTGCCATGGCCATACAGTTTGTAACCAATATAAGTCTCTGTGTTTACTTGGTTGGGTCTAAGCGGCTGTGGGACTGGCAGGTGAGAGAGATTTGTCCTGACTGTGGGCCAGGCAGGAAAACTCTAGCTACACTGGGTGGAAAGCAGGTCCTCCCTTCCAGGTTGATGACCATAGTGGTGCAGGTTGAGTCAGGAGAGAAGCTGCTGGAAGAACATCTTAGGAGGCATGTTCATGCCCACACCCCTCACAAACACACAAACAAGTTCTTATTATCAGATACTGCAGTTCTAGCTGTTCTCAATTATTAATGTAAGTTTGACTTTGTATTGGCAATATTAAAATGAATGTTTCAATATGCTTTTGAAACCTTCATGTAAATATTGAATATGCAGAGCCAGAGTCATAAAAATACAATTACAAGATTTATTACTCTGATTTGTTTATTTAAATAGTGGACATATATCAGAAAATCAAGCAACCTATATTGTTTTAGACTGTGGGGACTTGTTTTCTTACCTTTAACTGGCAAAAAACTGAACTAAAACCTTCATGATATAGGAATTATAAAATTTCCCTCTGACCCAGTCTAAATCATAGAGCTGAAATCATAGTAAACACAGCACCAGCTGTAATTATGGTCAATATCCTTATTAATAGAGGGAAACAATGGCCTGATCATATAGTGATGCATGTAGTATGCTCAGTTGTCCCCAGATGAATGGGGAAGACATCTGTCAGAGTGACATAAGTGTGGTAGTTTGAATGAAAATGGCCCCCACAGGGAGTGGCACTGTCAGGAGATGTACTTGTTGGAGTAGTTGTGGCCTTTTGGAGAAAGTGTATCATTGGGAGTGGGCTTTGAGGTTTCAGAAGCTCAAGACAGGTCCAGTGTCACTCTCTCTTCCTGCTGCCTGCCAATCCAGATGTAGAACTATTGGCCCCTCCTCCAGTACCATGTCTGCCTGCATGCTACCATGCTTCCTTCCACAACAATAATGACCTAAACTTCTGAACCTATGAGCCAGCCCAAGTGAAATCTTTCCCTTTATAAGAGCTGCCATGGTCATGGTGTCTCTTCACAGCAATAGAACTCTAAGTAAGACAAAAGTTGGTACCAAGAGTTCAGTATTGACTGCTGTGGCAGAACTGACTGGGTTTTAGTTAGGATTGTGGAAGGACTTTGGAACTCTGGGCTAGAAAAGACATTGAGTGTTGTGAGTTTAGTTGGATGTTCTGTAGGAGCCTAGAAGATAAGAATGTTGAGAGCAGTGCTGAGAATGGAGGGCTGGCTTATGAAGTTTCAGAGGAAAGTTTAAAGGCTCTGTCAGGACAGTTTCCTATTTTGACTTAAGATTCTGTGGTTCTGGTTAGCTGGTACTAAAGAATAAGCCGTAATTAACAAGATACCAGAACTACTAAAGCAAAACCTTTGCTTTGCTGGGATATTTGATGCTGGTTGGCTGGAGCTGAGAATTTAGTGGTGATTAAGTAGAGAACAGCATCATTGAGGTGAAATCTTCTGGGAAGTGTTTCCTAAGAAGCAGCACACAGAAGCTGTGTTCCAGAGGCAGCCAAAGTTGGACCTTGTGCTGGCAGCCAAACTTGGTAGAGTAAGAGTCACCTAGGTAGGACTAGTTTTGAAGGCATAACGGGGTCATGGAGAGCAGCTGAGGCTTGGCACTGTGAGAGGCCAGGGGAGGCCATTGGTAAAGGTGCAGGCTCAGTGGCAGTTGAAGGCCCAGTACTGAAGGAGTCATGCACAGAAGTTGAGGCTTGGCACCATGAAAAGAGCCTACGAGAGGCTAACGGTAAAAGTGCAGCCCAGTTGCAGCACAAGACCCTAGCATTTTGGAGATGCCAGTACTACAGGATGGCCACCAAGAACAGCAGAAGCAGTGAAATGGAGCCAACTGGAACCTAGAAGACAAGTTGTGTGTGTGCACAGACGGAGGGCAGAGCTGGAAAAGTAACACAAACCCCTTGGAGGAGCCCAGAAGGTTATGAATGAATCCCAGATAATTTTACATTGAGTTATTTACAGTCTTGGGAGTTTGATTTTGGTTGGTTCAGATTGTGACTGTGCCCTGGTTCTTCCCTCTTGAAGAAGATATTTAACTTAATGTTGGTTTTTACAGGAGCCCATAGCTGAACGATTTTGAAATTTTAAAAGGGGTTTTGTAGTTTTAAAGAGAATAGATATTTTAAAAAGACCAAAATTTTAATGTGTTTGAATTCATAAAGACTGTGAGACTTTTAAAGTTATTTGTTTTTAATGTGAGATCTTGAGGATCAATAAGAAAGGAAAGGTGTGACTTAATAGTGATATGTTTGTGTGTTAAGTTGACAAGGGGTCAGTTGTGTTGGCTAGTCCTATGTCAACTTGACACACACACTGGAGTTATCTGAAAGGAGGGAAGTTTAATTGAAAAAATGCCTCCATAAGACCAGACCAACTAAAAATGCCTCCATTAATTAGTTATTGATATGGGAGGGCCCAGCCCATTGTGGGTGGTGCCATCCCTGGGCTAGTGGTCTCAGGTTCTATAAGAAAGTAGATTGAGCAAGCTATGTGGAGTAAGCCAGTAAGTAGCACTTCTCCATGGCCTCTGCATCAGCTTCTGCCTCCAGGATTCTGCCCTGTTTGAATTCCTGCCCTGACTTCATCATCAACAGCAATATGATGATGAACAACATTATGGAAGTATAAGCCAAATAAATCCTTTCCTCCCCAACTTGCTTTTTGGTCATGGTGTTTCATCACAGTGATAGAAATCCTAACTAAGATGAAAGGTAGGTAAGGGGTAGGATGGGTGCCAGCCCCATCCTCTCTGCCTCAGGGGTAATGTCCCCTTGTGGGATGGCTCCAGCATGAAGTGACATCTCATTTAAATTTCCACACCATGGCTTCACTCTCGTTTAAAGTTCTTTTCAGTTCTGTCATCCACATATGCCAAAGGGAGAGGATTGCCTTTCCTACTTCAGACAGTCCTTTTTTTGCTGCCCAAGGGATATCAGAACCTCCCTGCCTCCCATGGATGTTCTATTTGGAAGAAAGCAGAAAGCACTGTGGCCAATGCCACCATCAAATGTGTGTGTGGGAAATGATGGGGAAAGGTGATCTCTTTTCCTTCTAATCACAATGGATGGGCAAGTTATGAAAGACAACTGGTGACAGAAGTTTCATAAATACCCACAGGCATATCACTGCCTTTATCCAGAGCTGTGGTCTGTATTTAAGCAAGCCTTCGGTTGGGGCTTTCTCCAGAACCACACTGGTATGTCTTTTTACAACTTAGTAACTTGCATTTGTTTTCTTGTTCATGCTATGGCTGAAAAATTCCCATCTGTTCTTCTTCTCCCCCTAACCCATCATTCATCTTTCTACCCCCTTCCTCTTCTGTTGACCATGAATTCACAACCCTACTGGCTCACACCTCTGTTCTCTTTCTGTATCAAATACATATATCTTCATGTCCCGCATCCTTCCACACTTATTACTGCTCCCTTTTAGTTGTTCTGGGGAAGTTAGATGTGAATATACTTCTGGATGGAGAAACACAGGAGGCTAAAGGAAACTCACAGCTCTACCAACAAAATAGAAGACAGAGACACATGAGAACTTCTGCCTCTTTCCTTTGACTTCAAGCAGACTCTCTTCGTCAATGAGTAAAGAAATACATCTCACATTCTATTGACTGTTTACCTCTCCCTAGAAATTTACACATTTAAATCTTTTAGATTTGTTTAGCTTGTGTGTATGAACGTTTTGCCTGCATGTATGTCTGTGCAATTCATGCGTTCCCAATGCCCACAGAAGTAAAAAGAGGGTATTAGGTTCCCTGGAGCTGGAGATAGACAGTTGTGAGCTGCCATGTGGGTGCTGGGAATTGAACATGGGTTCTCTAGAAGAGCAGTCAGTGCTCTTAAGTGTAAGCCATCTCTCTAGTTCCTTTTTAGGAAATTGTAAACTGAAAGCACACACACAAACTGCTCCCCAAAATATGCCTTTTACTTTTTTCAAAAAGAAACTTTTAGTGACTTTTATGGTAAATATAATCAGTAGAACAAAGACATAAAATAAACCATGAGGAAAATGAGACCCTCTTGTGTTCAGTAATTAGCACTAAGGAATTGTGTTATAACACTTTTCTCGTATTTAAATGTGGGGGCAGTGCCAAATCTCACACTGAAATAGCTCTATGTCACTTTTCCAACCCCTCTAGGACAGTAATTAATTGGTGAGATCAAAAGAGTTGTAGAAGAGAAAAAACTTACTAGGATATTATATATTCCATATGAGATAAGCTATCAACACAAAATTAACAGGTCTGTTGGTAACTGGAATTTCATTGTTGGAAGAAAGGTAGACCTAAAACCTTTTGAGATTTTCATGAGGATTTTAATTAAAAAGCTTCTCTCTGTGTGTGTGTGTGTGTGTGTGTGTGTGTGTGTGTGTGTGTGTCTCCTTCCCTCCCTCCTCCCTTCCTTCCTTTCTTTTTTCCTTCCTTCCTTCCTTTGATATTTCTTTTCTGCATAGCAGGAAAATAGACTGCCATGTTTACTTATTGGGTCAATAAAAGTAGACTTGAACTTGGAAGTCCTATTACTGTCTCTCATCCCTGAGAAATGGCCCAACATCCAAATGAGAGGAGACAACCTCTTGAGCAAGAACTGACAAGGTGTTGTGTTGTGATTCCGGTGGGAAAAGCAGCAACACTCTGAGAAAACAGAATGCGTTCCTCTGGTAAATAAAGTTGCAGGCTAGCTGATAACGTTTTATGGGAAAGAAGGATTGTTTCAAACCCTCCAGCAAGCTTTTACACGGAGTAAATGCCTTAAGTAAGAAATCCTGTCAGTGAGATACAATGGCATGTAATAAACAGTGCACAGGTTTTCTTCAAGCAGCTAAGTCGATAACAGGTCAGTTGTATGTTTTAGCTTTTCTTGCCAAACTTAACTCCACTGGGCCATGACTGTACACAAAGACTTGATTTGTTTTGCTCTGTTTTTATTTGTTTGTTTTCAGTGGTCAATTTAGCTACTTCTTTGAGAAAGGAAATGTCTACTCTCCACACAGTTTGGAGTTCAGGAGTTGGCAATCCCAGGACTCCATTTGTGACGTGACATTGAGTGTCAAAAAGGGGACTGGTGTCCTGTTCGGTGCTTAAAATAACTGATTAAGAAATAAAAAAAATCTAAATTCAGTAAGAGAAAGAGCAATGAAATACCAAAGGGAAATGGAAAATTGACATGAATTCACACAAAAAAACCACAGATAATTAATAAGCAAACGAGAAAAATTATTCAATCTCCAACTAATAAATAAACATAGTCTGAGAATATGATAATGTTTGGCTACTAAATTAGTAGATATGGTAAGAAATAATGGCGTGTGTGTTGTTGGGAATATAAAAGTAGTATAATCTTTTAGAAAGCAATTTGATAGACACATTTGCCTAAATGGGAACAATAATGGTCACAGACCTCAGACTTGAAACCAAAGTTACCTGTGTTCATGTAGAAACAAATAAATTAGGAAAGAACATTAAATTAACTGTGACTGTAACTTGTGTCTTTTATTTTTGAAGTTCCCTTTCTCAGGAATATTACCCACTAATATTTATTTAGCCCCAACTCAACTAAGGAAATATACCAGCTTCCCTATTTCAATTTCCAAGCAAGGCGTTTCCTAAGAATAGCTAAATACAGGAGTCAAGACTTTGACCGGGATGCTGTCTTCTCTCTAAATTTCTCTTCCAGTTTTGACTCTGTCAAAAACAAACAAACCAGCAAAAAAGTCTGCCTGGGATAGCAGTTATGAGCTATGTAGATGTATTCCCAGGTTCAAGTCTGTATGGAGAACAAGTCTCAGATCCATCTGATTAGGCCTCCTTGAATCATGTGCTTAAAACGAACAAATCACAGGACAGGAAACACTATGCACTGATGCCCTCTGGGAATGTGTTGTCCTCTCCACTGTAGAGCCTGCCTAGGCCAAGTGAAGGGCACACCAGGAAGAAACAGTTTCAAACAAAATTCCAGGCTGTTGTCAATGAAGAAGTACGTTAACAGTGAATGTAACATGCATGGATGTGTTGCTTCCAATAGGAAAATTAACTCCTTTTTTTCCAGTTATTACCTTGTCATGTTGATTCCCTTCTTCTTTCTGGTCAGTGAGTTATAAATCCACCCTTAAAAAGCATCCTCAAAAAGACAGAACTGTGCAGCTTGTCAATGATAAGGTGTTGTTCAGCTACATTATGACTATAAGTGACACCTTTCATAAACAGTTAGACTGATAAATAAAAACATCATTTTTTCCATTAGAATTTAAAGTAAGATTTTGACTAGCTGGATTAAAAACTATAATTTTCCATACCTTACACCATATCTTTTTCTGCAGTCACTTTTTGGGGCACTTACATAAAATTATTGTATTTTATCAAATCGTGATGTCCCCCAAAAATCTCATGTGTTGATGGTTTGGGCCCAGGACGAGCAGCCATGTTCCAAGTTAGGGATTTTGAAAAGTGATTATATCATGAGGGCTGTGGTCTCACCCAGCAATCCACTGACAAGTTTATAACTTAACTGAGTATTAGATGATAGACATTTCAGAAGGTAGGACCTAATTAGAGGAAGGAGACCACTGGGTGTGTGCCCTTGAATGTGTGCCCTGAGGGTGTTTTTTATTACCACCCCCTTCTCTGTATCTCCATCTCTTTTGCCTGCCTCCTATCCACCAGGAAGTAAGTCACTTTCAATGACAACATGCTCTCCACCATTGTGTTCTACCCCAACACAAGCTCAGAAGCAACACAGCCACATGAGCACAAACTGAAACCATGAACCAGCCTTCCTTCCTCTGGGTTGTTAGCCTCGAGTATTTTGTCACAATGAAGAAAAGCTAACTCAATCTCCAACTCCGTTGTTTAATCAACACAAATACACACTAGATGAGACATAATCAGAAAGATTATTTTCTTGGAAATTTCCTGAACTTGAATGGCTGCATGGTTGATTGGGTAACACTGCCAGAAGTATTGCTGTCCTTGGCACCTTCTCTGCAGCCATGACAGAAAATAACCATGGTCTGAGAACCTGTTGCCATCTAGCCATTTCTCTGCAATTACAAAACAGTTCCTAGTTTTGAGGCACCATTCAAGACAGGGAAAAGGAGCAGGGAGAAGGACTCTGGGGCAGAGCTTTATCTTGCCAGATACTCCTGTGTCCTGGGAAACTCGGTGTCGTGATATGTACTTGGCGGAACTTTTGAAACTAATCACAGATTGGCCCTCGAAGTTGTCTGGTATCTACGTATTGTTTAATAATAATGACTTTCAAACTGGAGGGTGAACTCGGCACTCAAGTCTTCTTTTACTTGCCTGTAGGAACAATTTGAAAGCACAACCCTACTTGCCTCATGAAGAGAAATTCTTCTTTAAAAAATCATTTGTTAAGCAAATTCTCATAAGTAAGAAACATAATTACCATTAACTTTCATGAACATCGATTTATGCAAAGAAAAACAGCAAAGCCTATTAGACTTGACTGAATTGCTCCAACAGTCACATACATTAAGCAACCTAGCAAGGCCTTCCTCTTCCCTAATTATACTATAATGTGGCTATTCACCTGTTCTCATTAAATTCTTGCTGAACCATTATGGAACATATACTTAAGATTATTCTTATGAACACAGCATTGGGTGTTTATACCCATGTTTATATCATCTTCAGCTATGTGCTACGTAGTTTTATGTTGACTTGACACAAGTCTGAAATCATCTGAGAAGGAGGAACCTCAATTAAGAAAATGCCTCCATAAGATAAGGCTGTAGGCAAGCCTATAGGGCATTTTCTTAATTAGTGATTGATGGGGGAGGGCACAACCCATTGTGGGTGATGCTATCCCTGGGCTGGTGGTCCAGGATTCTATAAGGAAGCAGACTGAGCAAGCCATGGGAGCAAGTCAATAAGCAGCATCCCTCCATGGCCTCTGCATCAGCTCCTGCCTCCAGATTCCTTCTCTGTATGTGTTTCTGATATCACTGCTTTTGATGAACTGTTATATGGAATTGTGAGTGAAATAAACCCTTTTCTCCCCCAAGTGGTTTTTGGTCATGGTGTTTCATGACAGTAGTAGTAACCCTAACTCTAAGACAAACTGTAATGAAAAAGTATCAAGGAAAATGTATTGGAGATGCCAGTGTCATGGGATGGACACCAAGAACAATAGCAGCAGTGGAGTGGAACCTGCCCAAGCTTAGAAGACAAATTGAGTGTGCTGCAGAGGACAGAGCCAGAGAAGTGGCCCAAGCCCCTTGGAGGAGCCCAGAGATTATGACTGAATCCCAGATGGTAGACATTGAGTGATTTATACTGTTGGAGTTTGTTTTTGCTTTGATATGATGGCGACTGTGCCCTGGTTGTTCCCTCTTGAAGTAGGAAAGTATTTAACTTATATATAATTTTACAGAAGCCCACAGCTGAGAGACTGCATTTTTAAAAAGACTTCAGGCTTTAAACAAGACTTTGGATTTTTAAAAAGACTGAATTTTAAAGTGTTGGAATTTGTAAAGACCGTGGGACTTTTCAGGTTTGTAAAATGTTTAATATTTTGATGTTGATATTAATGTGTGATCTTGGGGATGAACAATAAAGGAAAGATTCTGGCTTAATAATAATGTGTTTGTAAGTCAAGTTGACAAGAAGTCAATTGCACTGGCTAGTTTTTTATTAGCTTGATTTCTGCACACTGTGAATATATATTACTCTCACTGGTTAATAAAGAACTGACTGGCCTGTAGCCAGGGAGGAAGTATAGGCAAGACAGCCAAACAAAATGCTGGGAGGAAGAAAGATGGAGTTAGTGGAGTCACCAGGAGACACAGAGGGAACAAAACCTGCTGGAGGACAGTTAAAGTCACATGCCATGTGGCAATACATAGATCAATAGAAACAGGTTAAAGTTGTAAGAGCTAGTTGGTAATAAGCCTGAGCTATCAGCTGAGCATTTATAATTAACATTAAGCCTCTGTGTCAGTTATTTGGAAGCTGGGAGCTGTTTTCAGGACAGAAACTTCTGCCTATACTTGACATAAGCGGGAATCATCTAAAGGAGGGAACATCAATTGAGAAAATGTCTCTGTAAGATCCAGCTATAAGGCATTTTCTTAATTAGTGATTGGTTGTGGGGAGGCAGCCCATTGTGAATGGTACTATCCCTGGTCTGGTTATCCTAGGTTCTATAAGAAAGTAGGCTGAGCAAGCCAGTAAGCAGCATTTCTACATGGCGTTTTCATCAGCCTCTGCCTCCAGGTCCCTGTCCTGTTTGAATTCCTGCCCTGACTTCCTTCCATGATGAACAGTGATGTGGAAGTGTATTCCAAATAAATGCTTTCCTTCCCAAGTTGCTTTTGGTCACTGTGTTTCAACACAGCTATAGTAACCCTAAGTAAGACACCATCTCTGCAGCACCCAGACTATGTTTTTAACAGAACAAATCCTTGGGCAAGACACTTTATTTCTCTGTGTTTCATTTTTCTTATTTACAAAAACATAATAGAGTAGAGTTGATGGCCTCTTATCTCCTTCTAGTGCTGTTACCACTACACTGGGGGTCTCTTTACTATGCTTTCTGTGTAGATGTTTTCATTCTGGAGGTATGAAGAGTTCCAAGGGACCCTCTTCATCTGGCTTAGAACCTAGCTGGATGAGAGCAGATGCTAAGAAGGTAAGTGAAGACACAAACTTCTAACTAGGTAAATCCCCAACTAACACACAAAAACACGTGCTATGGGAGAGAAGTGCATCATTTCTCCAACCCACTGACCTTGAAGTTTCCAAATAAAAGTTCAGACATAGAGGAAAAACACACACTGGGTTTGTGGGGGCAGTGCTCCTTTGGCTTGAAAACTAAACTGCAGCAGCGATAATGTCTGCCTCATCTTAGCTAAAAGGCAGAGAAGTGATATGGAAATTCTTTAATGCACAACCCCAACACATTTGTTTACTTGCTTTGTATTTTCTGTTTCTGGGGCACCGAATGTAAATAAAAACCAGAAGCAAAGCTTTCATGGAACAGAGATATGCAGGCAAACGAGCAAGTGAGGGGTTTGCTTTAGGGCTAAATTTCTAAGTGAATATTTTTCTTGAGTTCAGTGCTTTTAAAGATGGCGCTCTGTGGGTTACCATGACAACAAGTAGATATCCTCTTTAGAAGCCTAAGGCTACAGATCTCAGCTCCAAGTATTTTGTCAATCCACTTCTAGAATAAAACTTGTTGATGCACTGTAGGTGGGTTGAACAATACACAGAACACTCAACATTAGTATGACCCATTTCTTTGAAATATTATTACTATGGCCCCAGCTGCTTCTGCAGTGTTGAAGGACATGCTTTCCTCCCAGTTCATTACAGCCATTACATCTGAAGCCCACTTTATTTCAGCTTTTATTGAACTTCTCTCAAGACAAGGCTAATACTCATTTTCTACTTTCTTGATTCATTTGAAAGAGAAGAAAAGTTTCAAGCTGTTGGTCAGGCTGTCATTTTGGAATTTTCCTTTGCCCTTGGCCGTTTTTTTTTTTTTTTTTTCAGAACAAACTTCTTGATGATAACTGGGACCAAGGGATGACAGTTAATTTGCAGTTGTGAAGAAATGAAGGGAAGGTGTAGAGGAGGTAAAAGGTCCCTGGAGGATGTATAATAATAATAATCTTTTGTTATGGTTTCAGTGAAGAAGAAATGTTCCCAGAAAGTCCTAAGTGCCATTTCGATTTCAAGTTCAGCCAAGTTCCTAGAATCAGTAATCTCTGTGATGATGTATTTTGTTGAGTGTGTTTGTGCTGATTGAACAATGGGGTAGGAACATGTAGGAGGCACAGCTTAGAGAAAGCATTGGAGAAACCAGAATTGTTAAACACACAGGCCTACTTTCTTCAAGGAAAGGAAATGATGTCTTTTCATCCTGGGAAACTGGAGTGGATGTTGTCTAATAACCTGATGATCTTTTACCATTCTATGAAACCAGCCTTCACCTGAATCCCGCTAAATCCTGAGCATTGTTTAGGCCCCAATCCTCCTGAGCTTTGTCTCTCAGTTAATAGAACTTCCCCTTATGAAAGAGGTCCCATGCACTTTGCAACCTCCAGCAATAGAATCTATCCTTATGCTTATTACAAATCCTTTGTCCCTAGGCCCTTCCCCTGAGCTCTGTTTATCAGTCAATAGAACTCATTCTTATTTTTAAGGTCACAGGTGCCTTGCTATAGAGGTGTGCTTTGCAAGGAAGTTTTGACATAGCCATCCCTGAAGTTTTGTTGTGATAATTGTCACATGGTGGCTTTTTCCCAACAGTTTTACTGTCCTTAAATATGTAAGAAAAATAAACTGAAAGGTCAGACTCTTGAAGTTTTTTGCCCTAGCACCTGCTAAAGTGGTACTGATCAGAGTTTCATTCTTTACCTCACTTGGATTATTTCCCTGCAGGTTGTGACACTTACAGAAATCCCAACAGAATGTTCTGATTGTTGAGCAACTGCAAACAAATGTCTTCAACTAGTTGAGGCAGATGCAACTTTAAAATAACACTGTGGCTGAGGGCAGCCAGAATGCTAACTGCTCAGTGTGATTATCATGTAAACCATATAATATTAGGATTGAGGAACTGATATAGGGTGCATGATGGGAGTTTGTTGTTTACACAGTTCATTACATATCCCAACTTGGACTTGTGAAGCATGTATTCACATTTACAAAGACAGATTTGGATTTGAGGTTTCACACAGAAATCTAAACCTTGCCAGATCCTCAGTCCACTGTAGCCACATTCACCCTCATACCCACATAGATAGACTGAATAGGATGCCTTGAATTACATCAGGGGTCTGGTGTTTGTAGTTTATAGTGACGGTGATCTCATACCTGAAGGGTATAAAGTTATTTGTGGGTTGTGAAGTATTTTACCTTGCTTCCTTTGATACTTTTATCATTACAGTTTCTCTTCATTAGAGTTACTGTTGTGGTCATGAAACACCATGACCAAAAGTCACTTGGGGATAAAAGGGCTTATTTTATTCACAATTCCATATAAACAGTTCTGTTGTAGAATATTATTTTAAGATGTGTTACATTAGTTTATGCTGTGGAACGTTTGTTTAGTGATGCCAAATGTGTTGCATTCTTTTATGTTGAATTTGTTTAACTCTATGAAGTTGTGTTACTTTGCCTGTCTAAAACACCTGATGGTCTAATAAAGAACTGACCTACCAATAGTGAGATAGGAGAAAGGATAGGCAGGGCTGGCAGGCAGAGAGAATAAATAGAAGGAGAAACATGGGAGAGAAATAAGAAAGAGCAAGAGAACAAGGAGAGGTGGATGTTAAAGGCCAGCCACACAGCCAGCCATGGAGTAAGAGTGAAAGTAAGATATACAGAAATAAGAAAAGGAAAAAGGCCAGAGGCAAAAGGTAGATGGGATAATTTAAGAAAAGCTGGCAAGAAACAAGCCAAGTTAAGGCCAGGTATTTATAATTAAGAATAAGCCTCCATGTGTGATTTATTTAGGAGTTGGGTGGTGGGTTCCCAAAAGACCAAAGACAAAAGAGTAAAAAACAACAACACAGTTCATCATCCATAGCAGTGAGGACAGAACACACGAGGAGCAAGAACCTGGAGGCAGGAGCTGATGCAGGGCCATGGAGGAAGCTGCTTACTGGCTTGCTCCCATGGATTGCTCAGCCTGTATTTTTATAGAACCCAGGACCCCCAGCCCAGGGATGGCATCTCCCACAGTGGGCTGGGATCTCCCTCCCCCCATCAATCACTAATTAAGAAAATGCCCTACAGGCTTGCCTACAGCATGATTTTTATGGAGGATTTCTTTAATTGAGGTTCCCTCCTCTCAGATGAGTTCAGGTCCATGTCAAGTTGACATAAAACTATCCAGCACAATTGACCTCTTTTCAACTTGACACACAAATGTATCACTGTTAAGCCACAAATTTTCCTCTCTTGTTCATCTCCAAGATCACACATTAATATCAGTATTACAATATAACACATTTTACAAACTTAAAAATCCCATGTTTTTACAAAGTCAGCTCTTTTTAAAAGTTGGTTTTATTTTTTTTTATATAACTCAAAGTCTCTTTTAAAACTTAAAATCTCTCTTAAAATTCAGTATCTCAACTGTGGACTCCTTTAAAATAAAAAATAAGTTAAATACATCCTTATTTTAAGAGGGAAGAACCAGGGCAGAGACACCACCAAATCAAAACAAAACGAAACTCCAACAATATAACTAACTTAATGTTCAATGTCTGGGATCCACTCACAATTTTCTGGCCTCCTCCAAGGGGCTTGGGTCCCTTCTCTGGCTCTGCCCTCTGCAACACACACAGCTTGTCTTCTAAGCTTGGGCAGGCTCCACTCCAAAGCTGTTGCTACTCTTGGTGGCCATCCCACGGCATTGGCATCTCCAAGACGCTGGGGTCTTCTGCTGCAGCTGGCCTGCACCTTCACCAATAGGCTCTCCTAGGCTCTCTTCATGGTGCTAATGCATGACTCCTTCAATCCTGGGCCTTCATCTGCCACTGAGGCTGCACCTTCACCAATGAATGGCCCCCTCCTGGCCTCTCACAGTGCAAAACTCCAGCTATTCTCCATGACTCTTTCATGGCTTCAAAACCAGTACCACATGAGTACCTGCCAAGTTCAGGCCCCAGCTCCAGATACAACGTTGGCTACCTCTGGAACACAGCTTCTGTGTGCTGACTCTAAGGAAACACTTCCCAGAAAATTTCACCTCAGTAATGTCTTTTCTTAATTACAGCTAATTTCTCCAATCCTGTTGACCAGCATCAATTGTCCCAGTAATGTAAAGATTTTATTTTAGTGGTTCTAGTCTCTTGCTAGTCAGTCAACTCTTCAGCTCCAGCTGACCAGACACCACAGATTCTTTGCACAAATGGTCCAGTAGAGTTTTTTATTCCCTCTGAAAACTCATGAGCCAGACCTCTATCATCTGAAGTGCTCTCAAGATTCTTATCCTCAAAGCTCTGACAGAACAGCCCATTGAGCTCTCAAGATTCATATCCTCAAAGCTCTGTCAGAACAGCCCACTGAGCTCTCAACATTCACTGGCTTTTCTAGTCTAGGGTTTCAAAGTCATTCCATGATCCTCCCCAAACGTAGCCTGTTCTGCCATAGAAATACACTGTTATCCTGGTACCAATTTCTTAAGGTTACTATTGCTGTGATGAAACATCATGACCAAAAGCAAATTGGGGAGGAAAGTGTTTATTTGGGTTGTACTGTTAATCCTACCCAACAAGAGTAAAGACCACTGACCCAAAATTTCTGATGGAATTAAGCAAGCTTTATTTTCTGTCAGACAGGGTTAACTCCTTTAAAGTAAGATTTCAGACAATACTTCCAAAGACAGAAGAAATGGGTTTTTTTTATAGCAACCAAAACTGCAAGGCTAGGGGGTTCCCAGGGTCCAAGGGTTTTTGGTTACATAGGAACTTGGCATATTTGACAAAATATCTTATCCTTTCAGGGTATAGGGGATAGAACATGTTAAATTACAGAAAATGGATCAAGACACAGTCACACTTAAGTTCTACAGAAAATAGAAATGAACTTACTTTGACCAACAAGATGGCTTCTAATCTTAAGATGGAGTCAGGCTGGTCCATCATTCTCCACATCACTGTTCGCGAACGGAAGTCAGGGCAGAAATTCAAACAAGGAAGGACCTGTAAACAGGAATTGATGCAGAGAGGCCATAGAGGGGTGCTGCTTATTTGCTTGCTACTTGTGGCTTGCTCAGCCTGCTTTCTTGCAGAACCTAGGACACCCAGCCCAGGGATGGCACCACCCACAATGGACCGTGCCCCCCTCCCCCGCCCAATCCATCACTAATTAATGCCCTATAGCTGGATCTTATGGAGGCATTTTCTCAATTAAGTTCCTTCCTTTCTGATGATTTTGGCTTAGGTTAAGTTGCTATAAAACTAACCAGCACAGATTGCTCAGTGGTTAGGAATGTTTACTGTTCTTGTAGAGGATCCATGTTCATTTCTCAGCACCCACTTTGGGTGGCTCACAAAAACCTGTACCTCTATTCCCAATCTATGGACAATCTATGGCTTCTATGCCCATAAACACATGCAAGAAAACACATAAACACATAAAATAAAAATAAATAAGTAAATCTTGAAAACTACACTCTCTAGAATTCATCCAAGAGCTATCTATCCATTCTACTCCTACTAATAATGAAAACAACAGCAAAAAGAGCTAAAATGTTTCACTCACTGAAGTAGCTAAGAGCTGTTTCTAGCTTACACTCCACATTCCACTACTGTTTTTGAAATCTCAAGATAATAACACTCTGTACCATAATAATATGCTAACTGTTACTCCCAACGGGAGATATCATTATAAATTGAAGTAAACCTTGTACGGCGGCATACACCTTTAATTCCAGCACTCAGGGAGCAGAGGTAGGAGGATCTCTGTGAGTTCTAGGCTAGCCTGATCTACATAGTGAGACTTTTCTAAAAAAAAAAAAAAATTCATGGTATATATGAAACCCACGACTTACGGAGACTAGGAAAAAATAAAGGAATAAAAACTAATTGGAAATGCTGATTGAGCACTTTCTTGTTTTTGTTTGGCTTCCTAGCAGAAAAGTGAATGCTCCAATTTGTAAAACTTGGTGCAGGCAAATTTTACAGACAGAGAGCCTCTAGAACCTAAGACAGAAATGGGCAGCAGAGGCAATGGGATTATCAGGAACAGATTCCAGACAAATGGCATTTTAGATTCTTCTCTGTAGTTACGGAGCTGCGCTGGGGGGGAGGGGGGGAGAGAGAGAGAGAGAGAGAAAGAGAGAAAGAGAGAGAGAGAGAGAGAGAGAGAGAGAGAGAGAGAGAGAGAGAGAGAGAGAAGATCCTTGTTTTCTAACAGATTACCTGTGCTGTATTAGAAGCAATAAAAGGAGGTGATAAGGAAGGCAGCACAGGTAATTGGGGATGGACTTAGGGGAAAATGTGAGTGGACACTGCAATGAGTTACACCCAGGCATGATTTAACTTTCTTACATATTTATCAAAAACACAGTCGATTAATAGTAACTGTAATAGAAGGCTGTTGGGGAGTTCAGTAAGCATTCCCCTCTGTCTTGTTCTGATCACTGATCAGGCGTGGGGTCAGCCAAGGAGCTTCTAGAAGTTTATACGCTACTTGTTCTGACCCTAGAACCAGAACCTGATAGTATAATCATGCCAGTACTTGAACACTGAGTAGTGATGAACAGGCAGATACAAGCAAAGGTAATAAAGTATCTGTCTGTGGTATGAGGCATAAGGGTTTGTTAGCTTCAGTTGAGATCGGGATCAGTGAAATAGGATCATATGCATTTTCTGCTGTGAAGATTATATTAACTAGTCAGAGATTCACCACACAGCTAAAGAAGAAAGGATTCTGTGTGACTACAAACAAATTCTAAACCAAATTGCTGCAGGGGACATTCCGATGTTAACTTTACAAAGGGTAATGGGACAGTGGCCATCAAAGTCATCCTCAAAATCACGAATAATAACTATCTTTGGGAAGCTACTTCCAGTTCTTAAGAATGATTCCAGTGGTGCTAAAAAATCAATCATGAAAGATTGGGAAAAGAATAAATGAATGACTCTTCAAAGACATTCAGAAAACATGACTTAGCACACAAATTCCTAAAATTGCAATCTGTCTAGAAAACAGTGGACAATAAACATGGGGACCACCTTATCCAAAGCTCAAGAGATAACCAAAGGTCGATCAGATCTTGTTATTGGCCAGCTCTGGCAAAGGGACTCAGTGAAGCTCACACAGGTTCTGACACTGCTGAAAGGCAGGGGGTAAAATTATCTCCTAGAAATGGAAATCCAAGTTAAATAGAAAGATCTGAGGAAGGTTATCAGATGTCATACAAATACATCAAAGGGATAAGGAGATCCAAGACCTCTGGTCAAGGTGCCAGTAAGAATATTTTGGCAGATAGCTCTGTAAGAATGGAACCCTTTGGATGAGTCATGTTCCTGATATCTTACTAGGCAGAACACACTCAGGCACATGTGGGCTTGTAGGCCTGGGAGCCTGAGGAAAACTCTGAGACCGATCAATTTGATGCAAATAAAGCTTTAATCTTTCAAGGGTCCTTTCTTCTTCTTTTCTTTTACAAAATTTTATGGTTTGAGAGCATATTGACTTTTTGATTTACCTTCCTGTAAATTCTACAATGGTGGCAATTTTCAGATTGAATGAACATGGCCCAGAATCAAAAATCACAGTCAGAGAAAAAGTAACACTTTTAATTTATTGAGCATGTATCAAATTTTAACATCTTCTTGCTGGAGCAATTTGCCTGTCATCTTCTTTACTCCTCAAAACCAAATTATTAAATGGATACAATCACTTCCGTTTCATTGGTGAAGAAAGCAAAGCTTCACTTGCTGAAGTTAATTGCAGGTTTGAGACGTGAACTGTGTCTCACCTGCCTACAAGGCCTGTGCTTTAATTAATTAATTTTCCTAAATGGTGCCTAACAGGGAGCAGAAACCCAAGCCAAAAGCGCCTAAATGGGACAAAGGGCTGAGGATATTCAAGAGTCCAACATTACATCATAGTGGGAAAGGAAAGAAAAGTCCATTAGAAAGCAGACACGAGGGTTCCTCTCCTGCTTGCATTGCTAAGTAGAGTCTCTAAATGGCACACAAAATTTACAGACATTGGCACATTTCAGGAGGTAGACAGAAAGCTGGGGTTTCTTGGTCTGTTCTAAGCAGAGCACACATAGGCTTGACTGATCCATACTCTCTGCTAGGCTGCTGTGGAGTAAGCACAGAACAAGGCCAGCTCTGATACTGCCACCTGTTGCCTTTGCAGACTCATCTCCCTCTGCTCCTGTAGTGGTAGATGCTCCAGGCTTTAAATAACTCTTCTTACTCCATGCTTTTCCCCATGGGAATCTCTTGGAAACCCTGAGATCAGTTAGCAAACACATGCTTAGGACTTTTCTGCTGCTGTAAGGGAATACCACAGGCCATGTAATGCTTGAAGAAAAGAGACTGTTTAAAGTGGGAGGGGGGATTGTTTAGTGGAGAGCATGGGGTCAGTGCCAGCTTGGCCCCTGGTGAGGGCTTCCTAGGTGCTGTGCACCTGAGGACATTACCCTGTGTGGTAGAGCTTCCTCAGTTCACCTTCCCAACAAAATCAGACTCCTGAGAATCCAGATTCATTAACTGATGGGTGGAATAATTCATCCTAAGGTCAGATTCTTATGATCCAATCACTGAGAGACCTCACCTTTCAGTACCATTAGCATAATCATTTGGAGACCAACTTTTCAGCACATGAAAATATGGAGACTCCTTCAAACTGTAGTATAGAGAGAGACAAATGACAGGCAGATATTCTAACTCCAAGCTGTAAATCTCTACTCTAATTTCAGGAATTCAAATCCACGTAACTAACTCTATACCTGAAGTCGACTGCAGGTTTCAAAAGGTGAGTCTCAAATTGCATACAAAATCTATATATCCACATATCAACTTTAGATAACTATATATATTTATATATACTCATACACATATATACACAACATACACATATATCACACACACACACACACACACACACACACACACCACACACACACACACACACACACACACACACACACACACACACACACACAAACACACATTTTCCAGGAGTATTTATTTTTTTGGGTGATGGTGATGATGATTGATCAATTTGTTTGAGACATGGTCTCATTATGTATTCCAGAGTCTAGGCTAGCCTTGAACATGGGATCCTCCCTGTTCTGTCTCTCTCTCATTATTACTGGGTTTATAGCTATGTGCTACCATACCTGTTATCATCTAGGGGTGTGTGTGTGTGTGTGTGTGTGTGAGTGTGTATGCCTGCAAAGGTATGTATAGGTATATATATATATATATATATATATATATATATAAGCCAGTGGTTAACCCTGGATACTAGGACCTGCGGCTTACTAATGAGGCTACTTGGCTGGCCAATGAGCTTAGGGTTCCTCCTATCATCTTTCCCCTAGTGCCGGGATTACAGCCAAGAGCCATAGTGCCCAGCTATTTACATGGGTACTGGGGATCAAATTCAGGTTCCCAAGCTTGTGAGGAAAGCACTTTACTTGATGAGCTTTATACTCAGCTCCTCTTCTCTGTATACTTGATGTTGTAGTGTTTGCAGCCTAGCAGACTACAAAGAGCACACCTATCAGAGAAGATTTTAGTGTTAGCAAAGGGCTCTCCAAGAACAAGCCTTTCATTTGCAATCCACATTCCCAATAACTTTTGTCATAGTCTCAGACACCAAGCCAGCCCTTTCCCCACATCAACATATGACACATACAACCAGCACTTGCCTCCAAACCTCCTGGGATTATTCAAACTGGCCAAACCTAAATCCTTCCCTTCCTTGTCTTTCCCACACCCTAATACAACCAAGGGTGTGAGTTAGTCTTTCTTTTCACTGCCTTTTGCCACCGAAGCACATGGCGCTTCCTGGTGTGGATTTGCTGGTGTGACAAGCACCCTCCTTTTGCAAAGGTAAAGGGGAAAATCCACTGTCAGCAGCATGAGCTACTTCATATCACCACCATCACTACCATTAATTAAAACACTGCACAATCTGCAGGTATGATCGAGACCATCATGTTATTGTTTATCCTCCTGGTCGAAAGTGCACCACAAGCAACAGAAAACAAAATTTATAAAGATAAGAGCTGATCAATAAAATAGTATGTTGGACAAGACCCAATTCTAATACAGTATTATTCCAGATTTTGAGATGCTTTGCCATAGACATGTTCTTATTCTCCTTAACTCAAGCATCTTGTTGGTTTCTAGATCTCCCAAGCAGCCCCTCAAGTCTGGGGCCATCAATAGTTCCTGGCTCCAGTGGCAAGGGACCCTCTATAGCCTCCCTCTTGGAGGTTCCTCAATAATGACATATATGGACTAGTATCAGCAGTATTGGGGAACTGCTCTAGATCCCTGCTCTGGCCCAAGCTTTGGATAGCCTGAAGCAAGCCAATTGTCCATTGCAGAAAGAATCCTTATATTGTCCCAAATGTACAGGTGTGAGAAGGACAAACACACCCTTTGATGCCTTAATGGAGATTGAGAGATAACTTCCTAAGATTACCATCAACTGGATGAGGTCACAATACAGGTTCCAGGCTTGTTTGTAATTTTCCAACCTTATTGACCTTCCCTAGTATCCTTCTGAACAGCAAGCCAAAGCTCAGTGCTTTATCTTTATCTCTAAAGGCTACAGACATATGCCAAGCTGTACCACCTGAATCTTCAAGTCCCTCAACTCAGCTTCTACTCACAGTTAGTATATGCCTAAAGGAAAATCAGTATATTCTAAAAGGAAGTTTTAGACCTAACTCTTTTATTTGTTGTTTATTTTTTTTTTGGGGGGGGGGGGTTGTTTTTGTTTTCAAGACAGGGTTTCTCTGTGTAGTTTTGGCGCCAGTCCTGGATCTCGCTCTGTAGACCAGGCTGGCCTTGAACTCACAGAGATCTACCTGCCTCTGCCTCCTGAGTGCTGGGATTAAAGGCATGTGCCACTGCCACCCAGCTAGGCCTAACTCTTATAAACACATTTTCTTTGCATTCACACAATGTAGTTGCAGAATTCTGGCATTCTCTTTGAGTCTAAGAAAAATAGCAGCTGGCTATTTTTTTATTAAGCAGTGGGTGGTTCTTCCTCCACTTCCTTGTATACTTCCTCCTCCTCCTATTTCTCTTCCTCCTCCTATTCTGTACCTCCTCCTCTTTCTATTCCTCCTCCCCCTCCTCCTCCTTCCTTTCCTCTTCCTCTTCTTCTTTGGAGATAGGGTCTTATGTATCCAACGGCGGCCTTGAACTGCTATATTTCAGCAAATGACCTTGAAATTCCTAATCCTCCTGCTTCTACCTCCTGAGTGTTGGGATGGTAGGCAGGTGCTGCACCACTCCCAGTTTCTACACTGCTAGGGATCAAACCCAGGCTTGCATGCTACCAAAGCACTCTACCAACTGAGCTATATCCCTGACCCTTAAGCTGTACATGTCTTCTCTTATTTCTCTTTATAATAAATAAGCCTAGCTTTACAAATGAGGGAAAGAAGGTCTAGAGTAGTTTAGTAATTTGGCATGAGCATTCAGGTAGAGACAACCAAGACAGCTTGACTCTGTACACTAAGTACCTGGCCTCTCATCCACATCGTCTCCAAAGATTGTTGAATTAACTTCGTGCTTATAGACTCGAACCCATTATCTTCCCTGTTTGGATACTTTAAAAACACTATGCCTAGCATGTTCAAAAAACACTGTGCTTAGCATATTCACAGCATATACTAAATTTGTTTAAGCCACCCATGTGGTGTTGGTAAATGGTAACTGACTATAATGACCAGGATGATGGATCAGAAAGCACGTGAACACAGGGGCTACAATGACACTAAGAAGACCAAGGACGACAGGAAAATGAGAACTCACAGCTTTGGCTATGTAGCATTTTTATCAGTCCTTTGGGACATCACGGATTCTATTTAATTTTTTAATTTTGTGGAGGTGTTTCGAGGCTGAAGTCAGAACCTGGCTGCAGACCCAGATAAAGAAATGGCTTAGATAGAAAATTAACTTTATGGTCATTTTAGTACAGGTAGCAGTAGGCATGCTGGAGGACACTGAGGTCTGGTCATTGGTATGCAGAAGCTCCATCGGCTGCCTAAATCATCATCTAATGAAGTGGGTCCTCATGACATCAACTGCTCAAAGCATGTTCTCCTTATCAGACACAAGAGCTCTCGAGGCAGTTTCCTCTTAAGATACTTTAGCCAACATGGATTTCTCCATCCCTATTCCTTGGCAGTCTTGCTTTCTGGTGCACCCATTTCAATATATTTGAAAACATTCTATCCCTTCTGTTTTTTCTATCGATGTCATTCAGCAATTTTCCAACCTCATCTCTAGACTCTGGGCTCTGATAGACTGTTTGCAGATACACAATTTATTGGCAGTATGCTTTTTACAAGCCATCTTGAAATCTCATTAGGTGCTACTGATTTTAAAATTTCTTTCACCAGGTATGAAGAGATGGCTCAGTGGTTAAGAGCACTAGCTGTTTTTGCAGAAGACTGGGTTTGGTTCCCAGCACCCACATGGTAGCTCACAACCATCTGTAACTCCAGTAGAATATAATAGTTCAATATGTGTGTTAAATTATCAGATGGTAAAAATTAGTACAAAATGGAAGGAAATGAAAAAAATAAAGAAAATAATATAGCTTGAGAAAAAAGTAAACCACGAGGAAAAATTAAGTCCCCAAAAGAAAATTTCCTTAGATGGTAGTTCAATGAAAGCTTTGCCATACTCTACAACAGACCTTGGGGGCATACACATTTCATTTTCCATGCCAAGAAACTCTCAAATGTAGAGGAATGCAAAATTTTCAAAATCTCTAAAAGAAAGAGGGTATCTGGACACTGAAAAGAAATCATTTTCTGTTCAGATTTCAAATTGAGCCTAACAATAAACAATCATCATTTCCCAAACTAAGCATGAATAGCTAAGATTTTATTTAATTGAGGCTGTAACACTGAGGTTTCATCATTTGTCCTATATGACTTCATTCTGAGTCACCTGAGACTTTAGCAGTCTATTTTAAAAGTAACTGAACACAGCCTGTGTAATTCCACATCCTACCTATGATTCAGCTCAAATGAAATTTCCTCTCTTCCAGAAAAGTTAGATTCTATTAATAGTGAGAACCCAAGAACTAAGAAATGGAAGACTAAGACTCAATATGTTGGTTTTACTAGCCATTCTGTGTCAGTGGTATTTTTACCACTGTTAATACCATTTTTAATACAAGAGCACATGTCTGGCAAATCCAGAGAAAGGGTATAGAGAAATGATCTTGGCAGATTCAATTTTCCTTTTAACTTACATTTTTTTTTTTTTTTTTTTTTTTTTTTTTTTTTTTTTTTGCTTTTTCGAGACAGGGTTTCTCTGTGTAGCTTTGCGCCTTTCCTGGAACTCGCTTTGGAGACCAGGCTGGCCTCGAACTCACAGTGATCCGCCTGGCTCTGCCTCCCGAGTGCTGGGATTAAAGGCGTGCGCCACCACCGCCCGGCAACTTACATTTTTAATAAACTTTATGTAAAGTATCATGTTCCTCATGTGGAAGACATAAATACTGCTTGGGTTTTACCAGAGGGATATTTTAGAGGTAAGTCGAGATTGATCTCATCTCTGCTCAAATATTTCAGCAGCTTCACATCTCATTAAAGGGTGAAAATCAAAGATGAAGAAACTGAGGTTTATAGAAATTCTACTTTTGGAAGCCTTAAAGTTAGAAATCAAAACACTGAGATTGCCTCCCTTACTTCAAGCATCCTTCTGAGTCTCTGGTACCTACATGATGAGCTCACACACTCCAGTCCAGCACCTAACAACCCTACTCTCTTTCGCCATTCCAGAATTGGAGGCTTCCTTGAAACCTAGCTTTGAACCTAGCTTTGTCTATGCAGATGTCTTTTTATCATTGTTTAGAATGCTCGTTATTCACATTTTATATGGCTCTATTCTCATTCATATTCTGTCTTTGTCTCTCTCTCTGTCTCTCTGTCTCTCTCTCCCCCTCACTTTCTCCCTCCCTCCCTCCCTCCCTCCCTCCCTTCCTCCCTCCCCAAGATCAAGATTATCCCTGATATCCAATGTAACAAAAATAAAATTTTATTCCAAAGTATGATGACCACCACCTATAATCCCAACGTTTGGGAAGCTTAGACAGGAGGTTTGCCATGATTTTGAGGCCAATTTGAGCTACATAATAAGCCCCAGGCCATGTTATTGCTCTGAAAAATCAATAATCCACAGTAGTGTGATATGTACCTACATGCAAGTGTAAATCACAGAAGGCTTGAAACTGACCTCAAGTATTTTGAATAATCTAATGCCTTAGTACTTGTGTGTTGCTATTGTTACTATTATTATTATTATTATTATTATTATTATTATTATTATGAGAGAGAGAGCAAGTATATACATGCCACAGCAATTGTATAGCATCAAAGGACAACTTTTGGAAGTCCGTTCTCTCCTCGCTTAACTTTTTAAAAATTTTCTGTGCATGTATTTTGCCTGTATGTATATGTACCACATGTGTGCCTGGCACCAAAAAAGGCCAATGGATGGTGTTATACCCCTAGAACTGGAGTACAGGTTGGTTGTGAGCCACCATATATGTGCTGGGCACCAAACACAGGTCCTGTGGGAGAGCAGCCAGTGTTCTTAAACAGTGAGCCGTGTCTCCAGCCCCACACCTTGTTTTTAAGGCAGTTTTTCTCTTGTTTCTGCCATGCTGTGTCTTCAGACAAGCTGGGAGATGCACTTCCAGGCAATACACCCATCTCCACCTCCCATTTCCATGTAGGCATTCTGGAATTACAGCTGTATGTCACCACATCTGGCATTTTCACATGGATTCTAGAGATTGAACCTGGGTCTCAGGTTTGTGTGACAAGCACTTTTGGCCACTGAAATATCTCAACAACCTATTAAGTATGTGTTTGTGTAAGAAAAATATATACAAACAAAACATGGGCACACACATGTGCACATAGCAACTTCCTTTAAATTCAGTTAGCATGTGCTATGCTTATTTCACTCAGTCCCTCAGATCATTTTTATATTGATATTTTTAAAATACAGTTTGAAAAATATCTCTAGTTATAATTGCAAATTTAAGTCATTGTACTCATTCTTTCAACTTACACTTTCTTTTTCTTTTCTTATTTTTTTTCAACTTACTTCATATTTTCAATGTATCATACTTTGTCTGGTTTTCCTATTTCTCTATCTGGTATTGATTATTGAGTTTTAGTCTGTCATCTTTTAGCTCTTTACTTGCCAGGATATTATATAATCCAACTGTGATGGCTTTTCTTGGTTGTCAACTTGACTACATCTGGGAATTAACAAAAACCTAAAAATGGAGGGCACACTTGTAAGGAATTTCTGCTTAATTTGAAATAGGAAGATCTACTTCTAATTTGGATCTTTAAGGTAGGAAGACACATCTTTAATCTAGATCTTTAATTGAGATATTATCTGGACCACACCTTCTCTGGAAGTCTATATAAGGACAGGGAAGAAGAAAGCTCTTGCTCTTTGCCTGCTTGCTCTCACCTTGCTAGCAAGTCCATTCCTTTACTAGCATTAGAGCCTACATCTTCAGAATTCTAACATATAGTGAAGACCAGCTGAGACATCCAGCCTTTGTGGACTGAGCAACTACTGGATACTGGAGCTTTCCTTTCATAGCTAGCCATTGTTGGATTAGCTGGACCACAGCCTGGAAGCCATTCTAATAAATCTCCTTTCTATACACACACACACACACACACACACACACACACACACACACACACACACATATATATATATATATATATATATATATATATATATATAGAGAGAGAGAGAGAGAGAGAGAGAGAGAGAGAGAGAGAGAGAGAGAGAGAGATTCGTCTTTCTAAGTTCTGTTACTCTAGAGAACCCTGACTGATATACCAATGAAGGCTAGGTTTAAGTCTTCTCATTCAAGCCACACAAGGGCTCACAGCTACTCTTTTCAAATCCCTCTTCCACCTTGCCAATTTGCACAGTTTATTTCTCCTTTGCAAGCTTAGCACACATTTAGAAGAAAGTTTGTTGAGTCATTTTGGGCATTTAAAGGTATATGGAGAGAGAGAGAGAGAGAGAGAGAGAGAGAGAGAGAGAGAGAGAGAGAGAATGAATCAATTTTGATGTGATTAGATGTCATCATGCATATATTGAGTTTCTATTGGGAACATAGTGTGTTCTAGGTGTCAAAGATATATGGTGGAAATAAGGCAGTTGGCCCTCACAAAGTAAATATTCAATAAAACAGTTTTGTTTAAATTTGTGCAATGGGGCTGTCAGCATCATAGATATTATACTAATGGATCCCATACTATGATAAACTACTTAAAATAATGTTACTGCAAATGCTTTTCCAAATCTTACTTCTGGGAAAGTGGAAAAAGATAGGAGCTGCTCACTGAATGTACAAAAGAAGCACAGAAATTGTCATAGTATCACAGTTAGACAATCCTCGTTCACAAAAAGTGTAATTGCAAATGAAAGTTTAAAAAAATAGAGATTATTTATTTTTATTTTGTGTGTATGAGTGTTTGCCTAAATGTATGTATGTACCTCACATGCTTGCAGTGTCTACAGAGAGTATTTGAGAGTGTCAGATCCCCTGAAATTAGAGTTATAGATGGTTGTGAGCTTCCATGTGGGCACTGTGTCCTCTGAAGAGCAGCCAGTGCTCTTAACTTCTGAGTCATCTCTTCAGCCCCAAGATGATTGCATTTTATTGAACACTAATACTTTCAGTGACAACAATTGATTGCTTACTTTTATCAGGCATTGTACTTAAGGATTGCCAAGCATTAGTGCGTTTGAAATCACAATAACCCTACAAGTTGGAGACATTTGTGTATAAACTTCTGTCACACATTTAAAACTATTTTAATAACTCATTTTAATCACTCTGACTATGGCTTCTATTATTTGTTACTATATTTATTTATTTACTGGGTCACAATTTGAGGAGTAATTTTAAATTAGATATTTATTTGTTTTCACATTATAGTCCGTTTGTAAAACTGAGACTGTGTGTAGCCTGATTGTTTTCTTGCTGATGAATCAATTACTAATGGCCTGTAACTCACTCCCAATGACTATGAACCATGCTGGCTTTAGCCACTAGGCAGCCTTTCAAGCCCACAGCTATGACACTGACCATGAACCTTCTCTCATCCATAGCTCTCTTCTCTACTCACCTTCTATCTAGAGCTAGCACATGATACCTATTACAGTTAGTATCTCCAAGTGCTTATAAATTATCTATTTTATAACAGTTGAGAATTCTAGAATTTAGCATAGACAAAGTTTTGTATGTTGCTTTCTAGAACTTGCTTCTAAGAATCAGGCCAATGTTAATCAATACATTTTTGTGTCTGCTTTGTTATTCTCCTGCTAGTCTAAAAATATTGACAGTGGTATAGACAGAAGTATATCTGCAATTATTTCAGTACATAAACTCATTTTTAAAGACCTGAAGACACTGAAATTACTCCAAGAAATTCAGCATTATTTTACCATCTATACCTTAAATGCTATTTAATGATGAATGTTCTGTTTGTTACCAGACTGAATTTTAATTCTGGCAGGGAAATTGTAAACAAGATGGCATTAACCCATCCCCCAAAGGCATGGCCTCAATTTGTCCTCCTCAGCACAATCATGTCTCATATTCACTCAACAAACACATGTCCCATGCCAACTATATTCCAGTAACCACACCAAAGTCTACAAACAGCAAACCAAATGGACAAAACCTCCAGGTCTTGTGGCACCTACAACATGGTGTGGGGTGAGATGAATATTTTATGTTCTACTCTGAACTGTAGTAGCTGTAATACAGTCTTCTGTGATTCTGTCTACCCCTTATTTACCTGTTCCTGATAATGATGTCATTACCACTCTCAGACACATACACAGATGTGCACAGCTGTCCAGACACAGCTGTGGTTCAACTGCATTTTCTACATGTGCCTTTGAGGTCTTCAACTCCCAAGTTCTACCAAGTCACTCCCATCTCCTTCTAGTGTCCTCTCCAGGCCACCCTGATTTGACCCAGTGTAAACGAATGCTTTCCTTTCAGGCTGCTTCATTTTACTTTGGATTCTGTATGTTTGGGCTTGCCTTGGACTGTGGCTGAGTAGCACAAATCTAGCCTTAACAGACTATTCTCCCTTTGGCATCTTTGAGTTACACATACTGCCTTAACAGTGGTATGTGGGACTTAAGTTTCCTGATGAGTCACAGTAACTTGAATGATTATGCCATTTTCTCTATTATATAGCTTGATTTGATTTATTTACTCAATTGTGTAGTTCTTTATTCAAATGTATCCAGCCAAGACATATTAGACACCAATCACTCTCTCCAGAAATTGGAGATGCTGTAAATGAAGCAAAGAGCAGCATTTTTAGCTTGTTTTGGAATTATCTTAGATCAGTTCGTGAAGAATCACCTGCCTATAAGGAATAATAAGACCCTTCTGGACCCTATTCAGGGTAGCTGGCTTTGTCTCTTGAGTTCTCCAAATGAACATTTCCCTGGAGGCAGGGTCATAGGGGCTTTGTCTCATAATATTTCCTTTAGGTCCTTAGTTTTATGAATTAATGTTATATGAGGACAAACAACCAGGTAAGTCTGTCCTTCCCTCCCTTGGTTATTGATTCAAACAATGAAGGCAGAGAGAGACGTCTGTGAAGTCATCAGCCTTGGGAACTGGAGTAGGTTTGAGACTCTGGCCACCCTTTAGCTTTCATCTAAGTCGTCTATTTCTCCAGGAGCTGAAAACACTTGACAGCCCGGAAATGTCAGTTCTCTGAAATGGATCACAATAATCACTCGTGTCTGGTTAGAAGGATACAAGAGATGTAAGGTAATTCTGCAGAGGAGGGGGGAAAATATCTTTAGCCCAAGAGGGAAAAAAAGCATAAAAGTAGCTTTTTATCCCCTCTGGGACAGTACCTTGAGACTGTTGGGACGCTTCATTAAAATGCAAACATGTGAAATCGTGAAACGGGGGAAAAACAGAAAAAAGGAAAAAAAAAGTGGTTGGGGAAAAGATCGCTGTTTTTGTCCAGTTCCTACAAAATTGAATATTTAATGCTTCTAATTAATTTTCCATAAAACATATGGTTCTAAACTGTCATAGACATGAAAAGGGCAGGATTACTGAATTTAATGACTCGACAGTGAATGTGGTTTTCACACATGAAGTCAAGTTCATTACCCTTCACCAGGCCTTCCCTCCTTTTTCCCACACCACACACTCTCCCCTGCCTCCTCCCATCTTCATACAGAGGGCCCTGAACAAGTTTCAGAGAGAATCTTCCCGAAACTGGCCCAGCCTCTTGCTGAAATTATAGTGAAGAATTTCACCATTCATAATTTTAAAGTATTTACTTATTTATTTATTTGAGTCAGGGTCATGCTGTATAGCCCTGGCTGGCCTAGAGTTCCCTATGTAGACCAGCTGGCTTTGAACCCACAGACATGCCCCTGCCCCTGCCTCTGCCCCTATCTAGTGCTGGGAAGAAAGGTGTGTGCCAATGCAAGAATCATAATTCTTCACTGCATCTCTGATGTAATTGTTCCTGTCAGCTGGCTTTTGTTTCATTGTGCTGAAGTCTGAGGAACTGGCTGCCTTATTGTCCTTAACTATTGCTTCATTTAGATGGGAACACTGAGATGTCTAGCTGAAAATATAAAGCAAATTATCTTTGTGTCTGTATTGCTCATAGAATCCTGGAAGTCAGTCCTGACTGGGAAAGAAAACCCAAGCATATGTTATAGACTGTGGCTGAATGACATGCTGCTTTGGAATATCTATGGTTTCCTGCCAAGCCATTCCTATGCCTGGTGCCCACTTCCTCTTAGATACTCTGTTGGGTCTATAATGATGCCCCTCCATCTCTCTGACAGGAACACAGCCTTCCCTGGAAAGATAATGAAACTTCCAGTGGCTGGAAGTTAAAGCCATCCTGGAAGAGAACATTCCATTCAAGATTCTAGCTATAGCTGGGCCACTTGCAGTCAGCCCAGCCATGAAGGAATGTCCCTGAGAACTCTGTCCCAAAGGATTATAGAAGAGATGAGGTATGAGGGAAAGTGTGCCTAGAGCTTGTGGCTGAATGAGAAGCTAGGCTCATTCCGAAATGAGAGCAGCTATCATTCCAGAAGAGCCCAAGGCCTTTGCTTATTTTAATAGGATTTCACTGAAGGCTTGCCCTGATTTAGGGCTGGTTATCACTCAGAATGACCCATTCTTCACCATAAGTTTGAACATAACCCTTCAGATTCACTGACATTTGTAGAGTGGGGGTTTGTACTCCCTTCATTCAACACACACTTACTGAAAGATCACTGCCTGGAGAAATGGCTCAGCAATTAAGAAAATGTACTGCTCTCCCAGACCAGAGGATGTGGTTTCAGTTCCCAGCACCCATTCACAATCTTCTGTAACTCCAAGGGATCCTACACTTCTCCCTCACAGGGCCACCTGGATACACCCACACACATAGTTAAAAAACACGGTTTCCAGCTCTAAGCTTCAACCTTGAAACCAGAAGGGCAAGAGCTGACTCATGTGAAATTTCATCTTCTGTGTGTGGGTTGATGGGTTTCAGTGGATGCCCAAAATTATAGACAGGAGTAAAGTGAGTGCCTGTGTGCGTGTGTGTGTGCATGTGCGTGTGTGCGTGCATGCGTGTGTGTGTGTGTGTGTGTGTGTGTGTGTGTGTGTGTGTGTGTATGTGTGTGTGTGTGTGTGTGCATATGTCTTCCTTTACATACATACAGAATAAAGGGGTGATTCAAGCTCTGGACAGAACAGGTTGGTAGAATCTGATATGCTACCATGTTTTTTCGGAACAACACACCATTTAAAACATGAAACTCAGGAGGAGAGCACTTATCTAGCATTTGTGAGGCTGTGAGCTTGAACGCCATCACAGAAAACCCAAATAAATAAAACTTGTGTGTGGTGGTATTGTGTTCCCCAAAATATTGTGCTCGCTAATAAACTTATTCTGGGGTCAGAGACAGAGTAGCCACACTATTAAACATAGAGGATAGACAGTGGTAGCACACACCTTTAATCCTAGCATTTCAGAGGCAGAAATCCATCTGTTCAAGGATACAGCCAAGCATATGACTCATGCCTTTAATCCCAGAAAGCGAGCCTTTAATCCCAAGGAGTGGTGGTAGAAAGCAGAAAGGCATATGAGGACCAGAAACTAGAAGCATTTGGCTGGTTAAGCTTTCAGGCTTTTGAGCAGCAGTTCAGCTGAGATTCATTCTGGATGAGGACTCAGAGGCTTCCAGTCTGAAGAAACAGGACCAGCTAAGGAACTGGCGAGGTGAGGTAGCTGTGGCTAATTCTGCTTCTCTGATCTTCCAGTGTTCACCCCAATAACTGGCCTCAGGTTTGATTTTATTAATAAGAACTGTTAAGATACCTGCTACACTTGTGAACTGTTTATTTCTGAAACTTTTACATATAATACTTTCAAACTCCAGTTCATCATGAGCAACTAAACCTCAGAGAACAAACCTGCACATAAGAGCAAAATGCTGTGTGCAACAAAAAAAACATTGATAAAGTAATTTCTTACATTTCTTTTCTTTAAAAATCCATAATATTATCCCATAGAGTATCTAAAATAAGGATGAGGTATCTGGTTTTGTTTTGTTTTGTTTCATTAGAATGAGAATCAGGTCTAGTTTGGCTGATATGACCTTTGAACTTAGACATCAGTGACAGATACCAGTTTACAAACATATGGTGGCCAGGGACCAAGATGAAAATTCCAAGAAACAGAATATTGAAAATGGAAGAAAAATTAAGAATTTAAAAATTATTGAAGTTTAGACTTATGAAAAATTACATATAGCATCAGAATAAAAATACATTTTGCCAAACTGAGATAAAATGTGCTGTCATAGTTCACTTTCTTTAACTTACTTAAAAATGCCACGAAAATAAAATAAATTAAAATGCCTAACAGCTGAGATGTTCATGTGCTGGGCTGGGAAGATTAGGGTGGAAAGATTCTACTTTCAGTGTGATAGAAAGAGCAAGTTTAAGAAATCCCCTGTATAGCATGTCCATGATAGTTAATAAACGATATAATTGAAAATTGTGAAACACTGATACAAGTGTTCTCACTACAAAATAAAGTATATGAGGTGGCATGTTAAGTAACATTTATATGCATTTCATGATGTTCTAATGAACCAAAATACTATAAACCATATGTATGTACATTTTTGTCAATGTAAATAATTAATCAGAGAGTAGGGTTAGAGACATGATGTAGTGCTTAAAAGCATGTATTTCTCTTGCAGAGGACCTAAGGCATTCTAAGAAATTAGCTATCCTGAGGTTATGCAATGCCAAGTAATTCCTATCTTTGCGGCTTCTTTTTTTTTTTTTCCAATGAGAGTGCTTTCTTCCCACCAGAATGTGGACATGGTTCCTGGAAAGATCATCCACTGAAAAAAGCCACCTCTTCAAGAGCAGTCACAAAGTGTTCTGCATATTGACTTTTCAGGCTGAACATCCCAGGGCTTCACACAACTCCACCTACTATAGACTGAGAACTTATTTATGATCTAAAAAAATACCAACTCTGAAATGTTCCCCAGTTCAAACCTTTTAAGTATTGTTTGGATGCTCAAAATGTTTGAGATTTGGGAGCATTTCTAACTCCATATTTTCAGATTAGGAGTGTTTGACCTGTACAGACAACACACATCTCTCCACATCTGAGAAACCTCAGAATCTGAAAGATTGGCCCTAAGAGTTTTTGATAGGAAACAACATAGCTGCATGTAGTTCATTGCCCCGTCATTATCCCACTGTCCTCCACATACTCTATGCCATGTTTCTGCAAGTTTATGCTGTCATAAAAGGGGTTGGGTCTGACCTATAGGTTCTGTGGAAACGCAATCCATGCCCATGACCTAAATGATGCTTCTTTTAATACAATCTGATAATGTGTTACTTTGCTTCCTCCATCAGTCCCATTACTTAATTAGATCCTGATGAGCATGTGGACAAAACATCCCTTAATCTATTCTACATGTGCAAGTTTAGATTGATCTCCAAGTTAATTTTGTTGTCTTGTTTTTCCAGTGCCCACAGCATGTACCATGTACCCAATAGTTATCTGTAATGAGGATCAATGGTGCTTTAACGCTCTGGGAGTTTAAGAAGAACACAGATTTTAATTATTTTTCACATTTATCTACTTGTTATAGATGGGAGAGGGCATACCACACTTGCTTGTAGAGGTCAGAGGACAACTTGAGGGAATTGGTAATCTCTTTCCCATAATACCAAGGAAGAATATGTATGAACACAATGAGATTTGAAAAGAAGGGTAACCAGAAAATGAAAGAAGAAAGAAAACCATTCTAAAAAGTAATACTCAAAGATATAACAGAAGAAAACATTCCCCCACTGAGATTTAAAAAAAAAAAGGTAAGTTAGAAGATGGTGAGAATTTCTGTTTGGTGATGTTTGACATTCTAAACAAAAACCCTAAACCTGTGCTCTGAGAGATTGAAATGCTTCTAGATACAAGATCTCAGATCTTCTAAAAGAGTGTTGGGTTATTATTGTTCTTTTTTGGGTTTTTTTTTTTTTGGTTTGTTTCTGTTTTATGTACATGGGTGTCTTGCCTGCACATACATGTGCATCACATCTATGCCTTGCCTATGGAGGCCAGAAGAGGGCATTGGATCCCATGGAACTGGAGCTGCAAATGATTGTGAGCTGCCATGTAGATACTAGGATTCAAAATTGAGTTCTGTGTAAGAGCAGCCAGTGCTCTTAACTGCTGAGTCACCTCTCCAGCCCTTAGAAAGAGTGCTTTGCACTCAACCCATATGCATGCTTCCTTTCTCAAATACCATAGCAGAAAGTATAGACTCAGTGGTCATGTAGAGAATCTGGCTATTTGCCAACAGAAACATGGTTCCTTTTCTCTTTTTCCTGCCCAGCTTCATTCCTACTACATCATCTTTCTATTCAAATGTCTGTATCTTCTTGACTTTGGG